GGGGGGGGGGGGGGGGGGGGGGGGGGGGGGGGGGGGGTTTGGTTTGCATACCATCACCGAAGACCATCAACTTCTCGCGCTTGCCGGTGGCAACCTGGGCAAGCAGAGGGAGCAGGTTGTAGGGGACACCCTGAGGGTCCTCACCCATAATACCGCTGGGGTGGGCACCGGCGGGGTTGAAGTAGCGGAGCAGAGCGCCGTTCCACTTCTTGGCCTCAGCCTCGTTGCCGGCCTTCGTGGCGTTGTTGCGCTGGGCGTTGATGACGTCGGTGATCGCAGTCTCGACGGCGAACTTGGTGTTGCCGTAGGGGTTGGTAGGGCCCAGAGGGCAGTCCTCGGGGATGGGGATCATGTTGGGGAAGCGGGTGGCATCGCCGTAGACCGTGGCGGAGCTGGAGAAGACAATGTTGGTGACATTGTGCTTCACCATGGAGCGCAGGAGGTTGATGGTGCCGTAGACGTTGACCAGGTAGTAGTCCAGGGGCTTCTCGCCGGACTCGCCAACGGCCTGGATTAGGGCAATTGGATTAGTCATTGATCATACCATACGGTTTATGTTTTCTTGCTTCATGGGATACACACCTTCAGGGCAGCGAAGTGAATAACGCTGTCAATGTCGGGGTGGGCCTCGAACACCTTGTCGAAGCCGTTCTCCTCGGTGACATCGAGCTGGATGAACTCGGCCTTCTTGCCACAGATAAGCTCAACACGCTTGAGAGCCTCGGGCGAAGAGTTGTACAGGTTGTCGGCAACGACGACCTTGTAGCCAGCCTCGAGGAGGGCGAGAGTGGTGAACGAGCCAATGTAGCCCGTGCCACTTTGCGGGGAATTAGTTATAGTCCCAATATAACATTCCCAAATAAGGAATTCAACCACTTACCCAGCAACAAGAACTGAACCAGAAGGCATGATTAAATTCCGCGTGATAATTGAGGGTAGAAAGACAGAGAGTACGGGGAGAGTCCGGAGTAGAAAGCGGACGAGGGGCAGCTTTTTAAGGGGAAATTGGGTGGGGGGATGGCCCGGTGTGGTCTTTCACCACGTGGAGATGCGATGATGCGGCCTGCTGGTTTTGATTCGACTTGTTTTATGTTTATTCGCAAGTACATCCATTGATCTACATGTCTTCACCTCTAATTTCCCTCTCTCTCCCAATTGAGGCTATTAGGCCATTGTTGATGCGGACATTATGTACATGTGTTATGAGCAAGATGGTGGCGGTGAAAACAGCCCTGAATCTCGAAACGGGCAAAGATATGCAGAGATGTGCATGCAAAGAGAAATTGAATTTCCCGAATTCCCCTGAACTCCTGGACTTCCTGCAAACAACGTCGTTTCCGTGCCGAATAAGGACATCTGCAAGGGGTTCCGTTTCGGGGAACTCTCGGCGTATTATTTACTGGCGTTGAATACAGAACATTGAATGAAATTGGTATTGGGGAAACAAAAGTAAAATAAATCGGGTTCAGGTACAATAATACAACCTGATTTTTGGGCCCCGTGTTCCCTGTAGATGTGGTAAATAGTGTTGCATTTCAGCGACATTGCCCACGAGACCGAATCTCAGGGCTCTTCTCATTCAAGTCTGGATGAGCTCGAACAGAAGTGTTGGTTAACATGCCAAGGGTAATACCCAAGGCTCAAGATCAAAATAGCCTAGAAAATAGCCGGCTACCTTTTTAACCAAGGAGCTCGACGTCCAGACCAATGGCCCGCATGAAAAGGTTCACATTGTTCAGGCGCTGACTGCCCATGTCGGCAGGAAGGGTTTTGCTATATCCCACGGTTTCCATGACACGGTCCCTGTAAGAAATTCATTAGCACAGTTTCTGCGTATCATTATATCAGAACGGAAACACTCACTTAACAGCAATAACCAGACGCTGCTGCTGCTCAGGACTGGCGCCAATGCCCACGGCGGCAAGGAACTGCCACACATACATATCGTCACCGGAGCTGATCGATCCGGGGAAAATGTCACTCAATCCGAGTTCCAAAGTATCAAACAACACATTGAACTTCTCAACCCACTGTTGCCAATCGTGCTCGGAAGCCTGGCCGGCCTCCTTGACGATCTCGGCACGACTGAGCAACATGGTCAAAATGCCCAATCCAACCTTGGTGCGAGCCACGGTCTGCACATGGGTTTGGTTAATGACCAATCCCAAAAGACCGATAATAATGTTGAATGGCGCCTCGTTCACATATCCCAAAAGGCAGGGCATGACGGCCAACGAGAACAGGTCAATAGCTTCGCGCACACCGAGCGGTGGCTGGGCCTCGCCCGGTACGGGCTGAGCAAGACGGACCACATCCAAGCTATCCAGGTGGACGACAATCATGGTGAGGATAGTGACACGCTGTTCCTGGTCAATGTGACGGAAGATGCGAGGAATAGCCTTCTTGCCCTTAGGGTATGACAAAAATGCGATAAAGGGGTGGGGTGTCGTCGAGTTCGGGACAATCGGTTCCATCACCTTCAATGACCGCCACAACTTCTGGTTGAGCGAGTGAAGCTTCTGTCTCCATTCCATGTGCTCCTGGATTGCTTCGGCGTCGCCTTCCTCGGGGGGTGGCGGCATCGTGCGTTCCATGTCTTCCATTGCCATCAATGCACTGTAAACACCTTCGAGGTTCGTAAGGATCGACTTGCGGTCACTGAGACTCAGATCTGACTGCTTCTTGGGCTTCGGTCCCTCTGAGCTATCAGGGCGCTTAATGTTCAGCATCGGCTTGGGCGCCTTGGCATTGCTAAATGAGATCTTGCCCAAGCTGCCCTCAATGATGAGCTGCTTGTTCTTGGGCTTGGCCTTCGCGGCCTCTACAGCACGCTGGACCTGTTGCTGCATCCGCTGCATGTGGTTATCGGCACTCTGGAAATTGCCCCGACGATGCCCGCCGAGCCGGTTACCCGTTTGGAGCAGATAAGTCTGGGCGAAGTGACCAAGGGGCTGGTGGGGGTGTTGCCGCGGTGCGCCACGAATCTGGCTGTACACCTGGTAGTAAAAGTCTTCCGCCAGCACAGCTTCGGGATCCGAATCTGCCACATTTCCAGCAGCCGCGACTAGCTGTTGCAACTGGATACGGGTGATAAAATTCTTGTCCTGTGGTGTCATCAGACCATTGCCTCGGGACAGGAGGAAGATCTTGTGGTTGCGCTTTGCCCGCTTAGCATCCTCCACCAAGTAAGCGTTACGCTGCTCTTCTGTGAGATGCATGAGTTGCTGCGGGTTAGTGATCACTGGCATTCCATTGTTGGAGCCCCGGCTAGGCGGCGGCCCTTGCTGATGTGGAAGAGGTTGCTGGGGCTGCTGGAGTTGCTGAGGGCGCTGAGCCTGGGGTGGTCCACCATGGCGCGGGCCAGGAGGCGGCATGTTTTGCGGGGGGAGGTTGGCGTTTTGCATCATATGCAATGGCCCACTAGGTGGCATATGTCCAGGGCCACCATAGAGCTCTGGCATACCAGGCGGTTGGTGTGGCATTTGCGGGGGTAGGTGGCCCTGTTTCATCTGTGCCTGGATGAACTCTGGCGGCACCGGAGGGAACCCATCAGGGAGGGTCTGGAGGTGCTGGAGCTGAGGTGGGTACTGAGGCTGCTCCACCATCGATCGCATAAAGGCTTCTGCGGCTGGGGTCGCGGCATTATGGCCATGATAACGCATCTGTGCCTCGACCTCTTCCAAGCTCATCATCTTCCGGCTCGGGGCAGCAGCAGCGGCAGCGGCAGCTGGTTCGGCTTTCTTCTGCGAGACGCCCCAGACACTAGATTTGGCTTGCAGGTCTGGAATATAACCGGGATCGGAGTACTTCTCATATCCAGAGCGCTTGGTGGTCTGGGTGGCGGCGGGCTGAACAGGAACTTGGGCGGGCTGGGGAGCGACTCGAGCTGCATTGGGATTTTGTAGGCTAAAGCGAACTTGCTCCTCGCCAATGGCGTCAGAAACCTGAGCAGTCTTTCCAAAGAAATCAAAGTCTCTGCCAACGGATGTATCGGGGCCGGTTCCGCCAAACGTGTCATCGTTGAACTCGTCCTGGTCGTCGGAAAGCTGATCGCCGAGACCATCGTAGGTATCCTCAAAATCGATCCTAAATGATAATAAGTACAATAGCCCATTCCAAGCCATTAGAAAAAAGATAAGCTCACACGTCGTCATCTCCCAGCGCATTAGCTCGAGCAATATCGGCAAAGGGATCTGGGTTTTCGAAGAACCCCTTGGCCCCGGAACCATCACGGTCCCTCGGTAGGGTTGTATCAAATCCAAAGAAAGCCATCCTCTGGATGAAGGACGAGAAAGAGGTGGGATGGTGAATAGCTTAGTGGGGGGGGTAAAGTTGAGGAAAGGTGCGATCGATTGACGGGAAGTTCTGGAGTGGGAATGCCTCAGGCAGAACTGCTCTTTTCGCCAAGCCACGGTGTCGATCTTCCCTCTGATGTGCAGCTTTCGGCCATTTTGATATGAAAAGAGATATCAAAGGTTAAGAAAGATAAGACGTGATAGGGCTAAGGCTTTAAAGTCTACGTGGTAACACTTTGGCCCTATATCGACATATACATACAGAACGTATATACACGGATAGTGACAATAACAACGAGCCAACAAGATAGAGATACATAATTACCCAGTACTTATACGGAGTATAGCGAGAATCCTTTCCCTTTTATCTCTCTTTTATAAGTGGATTTGACATCATCTCCAAGATCGAATGAACATGGATCTTACATACCCACCCGGGTACCCTAATATCCCCTGAGCACGAGAATGTCTCAAATTGGGTGACACCCCCAAGTGGCTGAAAGCGGTTGTCATTGTCTTGCGCGGCCTTTGATCTCTTCCACCTTTAACCTCTTCTTCCCCCCTAAAACACCTTGAGGATTTCCAGTACTGGCTTCTAATTTTCGCTTCTGTCTCATCCTCCATTGATGTCGCTCGCTTTTTAATCCGGATTGGTTCCCACTGCGCCGATCTGACCTGTGTTGTTGCCTTGCCACTTGACGAGGAATCATCCTTATTCCTCCTCCCCCCACATCACCATGTCTATCACTATTCGATATGCGCGCTACCTACTCTTTGCCGTCATAGTGAGTCTTTCGTTCATGCTCGCCAATGCTCGTTGCTAATGTTGAGCAGGGATTGGCGGTCTTCTTCTTCATCTCGAAATCCTCTATCCCGATTCCTACCACCGTGTTGACCACGCCTACACCCAAGACCCCCACATACGACTCAGTCAAGTCACAAAAACCGCAAGTTATCGGTCCACACCATGGCGAACGTATAAATGCCACCTTTGTCACCCTCGCGCGCAACTCCGACCTTTGGGACATGGTCAAGTCCATTCGAACGGTCGAAGACCGTTTCAACCACAACTACAACTATGATTGGGTGTTCCTGAACGACGACGAGTTCGATGACGAGTTCAAGAAATTGACCACCGCATTGGTCTCAGGCAAAACCCATTATGGTGTCATCCCCAAGGAACACTGGTCGTACCCAGAATGGATCGATCAGGACAAGGCCCAAGAAGCGCGACAGGAGATGGACCGCAAAAAGATAATTTACGGCGGTTCGGAGAGTTACCGCCATATGTGCCGTTATGAGTCTGGGTTCTTCTTCCGCCACCCGCTCATGATGAACTATGAGTACTACTGGCGTGTCGAGCCTAGCATTGAGCTTTACTGTGATATCGACTCCGATCCGTTCCGCTTCATGAAGGAGAACAACAAGAAATACAGCTTTGTCATCAGTCTGTACGAGTATGGAGCGACCATTCCTACCCTGTGGGATAGCGTGAAGAAGTTCACGGGCAATCACCCCGAGTATGTCTCTGAGGGAAATGCCATGGAATTCATCAGCAATGACGGTGGAGAAACCTATAACAACTGCCATTTCGTAAGTACTTCAAAATTTGGTTAAACTTCGACCTCGCTAACCTTGCTACCAGTGGTCAAACTTTGAAATTGGCAGCTTGGAATGGTTACGATCCGACGCATACATTGACTATTTCACGTCTTTGGACAAGGACGGTGGTTTCTTCTATGAGCGGTGGGGTGACGCGCCGGTTCACTCTATTGCCGCTTCTCTGATGTTGAAGAAAGAGGAAATCCACTTCTGGGATGAAATTGCCTACTACCATGTCCCATTCACACATTGCCCAACGGATGAAAAGAAACGCCTGGACTTGAGGTGTTCCTGCCAACCGAAGGATAACTTCGACTGGAAGGATTATTCTTGTATGTCCATAACCCCGATCTATACCTCCAGTGCAGAACTAATTGTGATATAGGCACCAAGCATTGGTTCGATATCGCCAAGATGGAGAAGCCGAAGGGATGGGATAAGAAATACGACTGATATACTCCTCTTGTTCACGGTCTCTCCGTGCCTCTGGGTCTATTCACGGATGGCCCAGTCGTTTCCCCACTAGCGACAATGCGCGGGTCGTTTGTCTCGTTTTGATGTGAAGCGCTGCGCATTTTAGAGGCTGACAGTGTCACCCATTTGCGCGGCAACTACAAAACCACGCTAAAACCTCCGCCCGCTGCTCTGCTCGGGATGGACATCATACCTGGATGGAGCAATATGCTATTCGATTTTACCGCGCTTGGGCAAAAAGCTACAGGTATACCTAAAAGCTGCAGGTATACCTTGAAACTGTTTCATTTTGATTCCCATTATCGCGTTACCCCAGGAGGTTTTACTTCTATGTCTGACATGTGTTACTATGGCGTTCATCCTTGTTTGGGTTTGTTTCGTTGCATGGGTCCGGAGTAAAGTGATATCCCGGAACCGTTTTCTATACCTCTAAAATTTTCAAAGGTATCAATACAGTTGACTTTGGAGAGCTTAAATATCGAAAGGGACGATATGATAATAAACAATCGCAATCCGTAGTGTTACATGCAAATATGAACAGAAAGATGCTCTCCGAAGAGCACAAGAGCCAAATCCCAGTAGCCTAACGAGGCTATCTCTTATACAGCAGCTGATCAAACAAGACCAAAATTGTATAACCTCACTCACAGCAGGTCAATCGCGATCAACCTGTGACCCCGAGTCCATCTTAATTGGTTTTCGGCTTCTTCGCACCGTACTTCGACCGACTCGTCATACGGCTTCCAACACCACCCTAGTAATGTACAATCAGTAAAAGACCTATAAAAGCATACACCGGAAAGTGGGTATATAGAAACAGAAGCCAAAAAAGGGACGTACCAAATCCATCGCGCCACGAACAAGGGTATACTTCACACCAGGACAATCCTGAGCACGTCCACCACGGACCTGGACAACACTATGCTGCTGAATATTGTGGCCTGCGCAAGAAAATTAGCCAAAAGCCCCGCAAGAAGAACCAGTACCAGAACAGAATCCACGGAATCCTATTCAAAACACCAATCCAATCCAATCGAATCCAATTACAAGTAAATCGTACCTTCACCAGGAATATAAGCAGTAATAACTTTGCCAGAACTCAACCGCACTCTTGCAACCTTCCTCTCACCAGAGTTAGGCTTCTTAGGCTTGGTAACACCAGTCTTAAGACAAACGCCCTTCAAACCAGGCGTCCCCTTCAGCGCAGGCGATCCACCCCGACGAGCCCGCTGTCCGGTGCGAATACCGCGCCGGACCTGGTTGTACGTAGCGCGGATGATAGGCGAGCTAGAGAATTGCCGCTTCGGCACGGCGGAGAAGCCGACGGCGGCTGTGCGGAAGACGGGCTGGAAATTGAGGCGAGAGGTGATCGGGGATTGTTTCGAGGCGAAGGAGATAGCGGGTGATGTGGTGATGGTGCGGCAGAGGGGCGAGGACACCGCAGGACGGTGGGCCAGAGTCCGTAGGGCCCAGAGGGCTATTGGGGAAAGTAATTGGGACATTTTGGGTGGTGTGAGGTGTGCGATTTGTTTCCCCTTTTGCTTGGTCGAGAATATCGCGATAGAATTGAGTTGGCCGGCGGAAGTGGATGGCACGTGATTGAATCGGGGTGTTGCGTGGTTGGTTTCTCTCGTCTGACGCAGGAGCTGGCCGCGCTGCTTCTCTCTGCCTGAAGCATCATCCATCGGCGGTTGTCTTGCATCCTCCCTTTGCTCTTGTTTCTACTTTTTTATCTCCTTGCCGAGCTTTGAATAGAACCCCAGACTTGTCCAATCTGTGATTTCGAGCCTTGAACCCGAAGTCCTAGCATTATCCATCCGTCATCATGGTACGTTATCAAGCTATGGACCTGGGACATCACCCTGGAGTCCAGCCCATAAGCAAGCATCTAGAACCCCAATTTCCAACACCACCATGACCGAAATCTATTCTGAACCTGTCCAATCGAGTTCCATCCCAGTTCCAAACACACACAAAACTAACAAAGACCCTCAGTCCCTCCGCATCGCCCCCCCAAGCGGCAACGCAACACAAACGAGCAACCTCACAACCCGGCAACAAGCAAGCCTCCAAGCACCCCGTCCATCTAAAGGCGCACCCTCCGCCCCCGGACTCCCCGACACACTCCGCAACAAGCTCACGCAACCCGCCACCGCGCACGCGTCGTCCACAAACTCCAGCGGCGAGGTTCCGTCATCTACGCACCCACTCGAGGCACGACTCCTCGCATGGCGGGCTACCCAGGACGCTATGAAGATGGAGGGACTGCGTCGGGCGTACGGGATTGCGGAGCCTGTTCGTCGCGGGATGGAGCTGAAGATCGTTCGGGATGGGACTTTCCGGCCTGCTGTGCTTGGCGGTGTGCGGGGTGGGAATGTTCATGAGGATATTCTTGTTATTGGAGGTCGCGATAGTGAGGTTCAGTGGGAGGATATTTACCACGGTATGTTGTGCTCGTATATCTTTGGGGAGTGTTTTGGTTTTGGCTGACATCGTTGCTTCTTGATTTAGGTGATGACCTCCGTGAGCCGCCTGCCTTCCATGATGAGATGGAGAAGAGGCTCAAGATGGATTTCTAATGGCTTTGATGATATGGTGTTCTTTGTTTCTCTGCTTTTCTATGTCGATGTGTTCTACTATTCTCCTCTTACGTCCCTCGTCATACTCCTGCCTTATGTCGTCAAATAGAATGGTAGATCACACTGGGCTTGATGCATTTCTAATGTGTCTGTCTGTCTGTCATCAAGGCAGTGCGGTACACTCGATATATTGAATCAATCCATGATCTATTTCTACCAATCAGTCTTGCAGAACCACCAGTCGTAATAGTATAGAGGTTTCTACGGTATGGATGAACAATGTGCTACGAGCGCCTGGCCAGCAATCCCAACCAAGACTGGGAATATATAGGCACCTTAGAAGTCATTTAATATATGACAAAGAAACATGTCAACCTTCTCCAAGAACACCCTATACACTACGACCAACCACCATAGGTAGTCAGAAAAAGCAGCAAAAGGAAAACGCAAGAAAAGAGAGAAAGAAAAAAAAGGAGGGGTCAAAGTCGTAAGTACACGAAAGTCCATGAGGAAAGCAACCGTACGGGGAAATGATAGGACACAAAGAAAAGGAAAGTCGGATTGGAGGGGGTATATATCGAGAAATCGGGGTAAGAATAATGGTGACAGCAATGCGAAAAGCAAAGGACGAATCTCAGATCGAGCCCTCGGAAGACAGGTCGAAAAGAAAAAAAACGAAGCACTCCGGCGGAGAAGATCCATGGATAGATGAATGGGGCCCGCATGCAGACGATATGGCGATGAGAGAACAAGGGGACGGCCCGAAGATGGCACAGAAATAAGAGAAACAAGTCGAAAACCATGATCCCATGATGGAGATCCAGTCAGAAGAAAGCAATGTCCAAACGCCGCTTCCGGAGCGCCCATGTTGGCTCGGCAAAACAGGGATGTTCATCCTGCGTCCAGGCAGAATTAGGGGAATCGCTGCAATGGCAGGTAGATGGGGGGTGGACAAGGAAAGGTCGGGTATTTGGGTGGAAAGATGCGAGCAGCAGACAACAGCATCTCCGGTAGCAGGCCGTCCACACTTGAGACCCGTAGCTGGGGCAGCGAGATTATAGAATCACGCATCGACATCCAGGGCTGCGCTCACTGGCTTCACCATCCCGGCTGTACTGTGCCTTCGCTCCCTTTGCGTCTTCCTCGTCAACGACTTCTTGCGGCTTGACGGTCATATGGACGACGTTTGGGTGTTCCTTGCTGAACTTGGAGTCTGGTCGGTCTGTTAGTATCAAAGTCTATAACCATGTCATCGTGAAAGAAAAGAATCTTACCAGAAATAGGCGACTTATCATCCAACAACTTCCCGAACGAAATAAGACGGATAGAGCTCGGTGACGAGGGACGGGTCTCCCAATCTGCGACGATATCGTTAGCTTGTATTCCCATTCCACGACTCTCTCATCAAGATATTTCTGGCCATCCGATTCCCATATAGAGATCTAGGTCGGGGTTGAACTCTTACCAGATCTCCATTCGCGCCAGATCAACTCCTTGAGGGTGTAGACGCTCATCAAGAACGGATCGAAATTCTCAACATTCACCGATCGCTTCCTTAGATATTTTCCATCGATCGTAAACGGATGCCTCGACCCCGTTGTCAACAGCAGCGTTATCGCCAGCGACGGGCCAGCATCCTCGACTTCCTTCCCGGAGCCGTCATCGGAGTGCTCCGTTGAGGTCTCCGGCGCAGTCTTTGGCTCGTCGGTATCCATCGAAGGCGGTGTAGTCGGTTGTGCCAGTGCGACAGCGGGTGCGTTGTCAACAGTTTGAGGAGGGTTGATGGTAGTAGGTGGTGTTGTCACGGGGGCGGATTCGCTTTCGCCACTGGGTCCAGTTGCGGGGTGGAGCTGGGTCTGGTTCGCGGGTGTTTGATCATGGACGGATGGGATGGACGTATCAGCGGCGAGCTCTGGTTGGGGTTGGAGCTCTGTGGTTGGTGCTGTGGTCTGTTGATCCTGCGGAGTTGTGATTGAGGGTTGGTTGATATCTTTGCTGCTTGCCCCCGACTCCGGTTGATCGGTTGTAGACATTTTAGGATGCCTCGATGGCAGATAATGATTGACTTGACCCCGTTGGGAAAAGGGGCGCTATCAACTGGGGTTTGAAAAGGAATGGTATTCCGTGAGAGCTGGAATGGGAGATGGAGAGAGATGCGGATGTGAGGAGTCAAGACTAAGCGGGAGGCGCAAGATAGTACCTCAAACTAGTGACGGAATGGCTGTACATACACCCCCCAAATGATATTCGATTGTATTGGAATAGGTTGAAGAGGGAGAAAGAAGGCAAAAGGGGATCTGCAAGCCTAACAGACTTCTTGACCCTGGTTGAACTGTCTTGGGACCGCAACCAAAATCTTTCCCCTATTTTTGGGTCAAAGGAAAATGAGACCTGTTAATAAATTAGTGCTTTAACTAGTTCACTAGTACTTTAGCGTTATAAATATAAATGAAGAATATCAATTGAAGATCCGGGGAAATCAGTTAGACCAACTCTTGTTTGTATGCGACATCGCTAATACTATGTAGATCTGGACATCTCTGGATAGTTGCATGAAAAAGACAAGGTAACTTTCTCCACATGTGTAGCTCTGTATTTTCTGTGTGACAATTGGGATCTCATGACTATAATGCGGACTATACATGCAGTTGTCACTGTCTCATTGTTTCACTGTCATGAAATGCAAGTGAATTCTATATTCAATATCTCATATAATAGGTATCGTGAAGCTGAAGAATATTATCTGCGTAGCTCATTCCCTTGGGAGCTGTCCAGTCTCGATTGAAATACCTGGCAAACAGACCACGGTCGCACACAGGGGACATCGGGAAAAAGAACGGGAGCCCTCGGCCAAGGCATGGGACTCGTGGTGCATAAGCAGGGGGATAACTTTGAAGATAGAGATGCAGATAGGTGGGTACTGATGGAGCGGGTAGGGGAGGTAAAAGATAGGAACATCCGAGTTAAAGTCGATGTTTCAGCCGTGATTCGTGTAATTAATTATCCTACAGGCCTGTGTATTTTCTGGAGGGTCCGGCCCAGGATGCAATAAGGGAGAGGCTAAGCTGGTAGCCGAAACACGTTGTTGATAAGTCATGGTGGGCTCCAGGGCTGGGATACTGGTTGCCTTCTTTCAAAACCGCAGAGCAACCTAGACCCAACCGGCATATTGCTCCAACATTTCGTTTTTCGCACCTTCGGACCCATGCTGCACGCCTAGCAGTCGTACGTTGCCGATCTTGCCTCCAAAGTCATCCTCGATCGTGCTCGTCCAGTTCGCAAGATGATCTCTCAGACGCGCAATTACAGTGGGATCATCCCGGATCAGGAGCGCGATGGCATCGTATCCTCCAGCCCCCGGGACGACACCGCCAATGACACCTTCGATCTCTGAAACACTGTCTAACAGCTCGGTCTGTACACTGGGTTCAATGGGGACGCCCGTCCGGCGGGTCAATGTACGAATATGCTGGCGTGTGCGCTGAATAAGGTTGCGAATATCAGAAAAGTCGCCCTCGGGATTGGCATCGGGGTGTTGAGCCTGGCGCTTGAGCTCTTGACGCAGTCGCTCGTTGTTATGCTGGAGGCTAGCCCAGAGAATATCCGCTTCCTTGCGGTTATTATTCCGCCATTCGAGAACTTTCTTGACCATAGAGGGCGTCTGCGAACCACAGTCCACGTCGCACAGAACCAGCTGCATCCCACGGGGGAGCTGCATGCCAAAGTCCACACACTCGGTGTCCCATGGATGCTCGGGATCAGAGTCCTCCACGATGGGGAACAGGCGCTCCTCGAAACCAGCCGAGCCTACGTCGCCGAGAGACTCCAGGATTGACGGCGAGAAACGTCGGTAGAGGCACGAACCGTAGACCGCGCTGGCAACGTCGAATCCAGATCCGACCTTACCCTGAGCTGCGCAGTGGGCCGCTTGAGCGAGGTTATGGAGTTTATCCCGACCAGCACCGAGATCATCCGGCTGCATGGTGCGGTGAATGACCAAGGCGGAGACAAGTGCAGTAACGAGAGCAGCTGAAGAGCCCAGTCCAGTCTTGTGGGCTTCAAAAAGAGGGACACCAAAGTTGACAAAGCGGCCACCACGTCCCTGGGACGCCGGGCCCCTGGAGGCAGCGGTTTCCGAGTAGTAGTCGCTGTCAGCCATGATGGTGACAGACAGGGACCCGAAGTCCTTGGAGTCAGCAACGTAGCTGATATAAGTCAATGCATAGTTGAGAGAGGTCTCGACAAAAGGGTTTCGCGGTCTAAAGAGAAAGTGATAGATATTAGTCAATCATTTTTACGCGAAGAGAGAGCGACAGCCAAGCATACCCATCTCCCTTCTGGATGACCTTCACACCCCCACCATTCCCGCATCGCTGCACACCATATTCCCACACCGCATCGACAAACTGCGGGGAACGCACAACAACGGTGTCCTCCCCGTCCTGGTCCTCAGCGCCCGAATTAGACAGCGCCTCGACGCCAGGAGCAGGCCCAGATCCAGACGCCCCGCGGCGGTGACCCCGCCTCAGCTGCTGGACAATAACATGGATGCGGGCATCGAGCGCGAACACAGTGCCCGTGTAGCCGCGGTCTAGCACGAGGTAGCCACCAGTCAATAGGACCTTGCCCGGCGCAGAGAGCGCCGTGACGGAAGACGGTAAAGGAGACATGGAGTACTGGTAGACTGGAGATATGGTTGTTGTGGGGGAGAAAAAAAGCCGGGATCTACGGAGCGCTTGGAGACTATGGAGGGACTGCCCCGCGGTCACGGGGGTTGGTTTGGAAGGGGAAGGAGTAGGTTGGAATAGTGCAGATAAGATGTGCTGGGCTTACGCTGCCATGCAGATGCAGCTCAAAGGAGACTTGAACATTTCCCAGATTCTAGAGGGGTACAAGGGTGTATGGAATTCTCCTAATAGGGACTAGTGGGGATGTCCGGGGACAGCCTAGACTTACGTAAGAAAGTAAGAAGAATCTCTTGGTAATTTAAGAGACTGGGTCTCCCATCAAATGGGTTCTGTAGTGTAATGGTCATCACTCTGGTTTCTGATACCAGCAATCCCGGTTCGATCCCGGGCAGGACCTTTCTTTTTCTTTTCTTACTCCTTTTTTCCGTCTATGGCTTTTATATGTTAATATTTTTTGGTTATTTTGTTTGTTTCTTCTACTTCTCTTTTTGCTATAGATCTTCACTCAGGTATCTCTAAATGTAGTGTGTATTGTGAACTATCAGATGTAATGAAATTCCCTTCATGAAACTCCTTGTTGCTCAAGAAACACCTTTAAAAAGGAAATAAAAAAGGAAATAACCGAAACTCCCCCAAGCGCCAAATCCCAGTCTTCCCATCCGTTAAGTATAAATGTACAGGGTATGCATGGATGTATGTGCGTTGAGATGTCCAATCGATTCGTGAGGGGCGACAATGGCGTTGGCGAGGGGGATGTGCTCTGGATGTTGATCCGACTTTGTCACCGCAGAATTTGATATCAGGAAATTATTCAATTCCATCCGACTTCCTCCAACTTCCTCACATCACAGCGTGGCCGAGAAAACTTGTTCCAAGCCTAAACCTTGGGTTTCTGCGCAATGATGCTATAACTCGTCGTAGCTAGACGCATACGATCCATCTTGACAAAAGCCTGACCATCCAAACAAAGACGGTTAATCAAAGTCTTGAAGTGTCGCGGCAGCACATGCACCTTGACGAGCGCAAGGATCGCCTGGCGCAGGGTGCGAAAGTATATATCGACGGTATCGATAAGCGGGGCCTGGAGACCATCGATACTAGCATTCTCCGACCGCACAACCTCAAATCCAGCCACCTTCAACGCCGCCTCGAGACTTTCCTGCGTGGGTGTACCGACAGCACCAATGAGCGGCTTGACACGGCGCATGAGCTCCGCATGCTCCGGATTACTAGCATCGTAATCCGGCAGGCTGATCCAGTCCAACAGGGAGATCTTCGAGCCCGGCTTGACGACACGGAAGATCTCGCGGAACAAAGCAGGCAGGTCCTTGCACAGGCTCAGTGCTTGGATCTGGTAGAATGCGTCGAAGCTCTCGTCGGCGAAGGGTAGGGGGAGGTCGTTGAAATCTTGCGTCACGAAGTTATTCTGGAGTCCGCGCTCCTGGTTGAAGGTCTTCGCCTGCTCGACTTGGTTCGGGTCGATGTTGAGGCCCGTTACCTGGGCGCCGGTGTGTTGCGCCATGTGGGCGGCAACACGCCCGCGGCCGCAGCCCAGATCCAGCACCTTCTTTCCTCTCCCCAGACCGATGTCTTGTGCGATTGAGCGCTCATACAAGATCTGGTTCTCTAGCACATTGGACTTTGGGCTCATCCATGGTGGGATGTACATCTTTTCGACATCGCCTAGTGCGCACAGGTGGTTCAGGACTCCATAATATGACTTCAAGCAATCGCCCACTTTTTCTTGGTAGTTTGGGCCCAGAGACTCGGTCATTTGTTTTTCGTCGGACCAGTCAAGGTTATAGATAACGTATGATGCCATGAAATCATCAACTTGTTTCGGGGTCAAGTGGGCCAGGTGTCGGAATGCCGTCCAGAAACTCTTCCAACGCTTCGGGGATGCCGAATTGTCCAGGTCCTTTCCATGATGGCCGAGTGTTGTCACCAGCACATTCTGCTTCTCCTGCGCGATCTCATCGAGCGAGCTATCACTCTCCGAGCCTCGTTCGCTGCGTCCGGGATGGCGCGGTGTATCCAAGAGTGCTTGTGTCATGATGGAAGAGCTTTGTACAAGCTATTATTAATATAAAGAGGTATATATTAGGTATTGTTAAGAGGAAGGAAGTATGTATAGTAAGTAACCAGCGGCCACGGCCTGGAGGGGATCTGGCGCGATTTATAAGCACTACGCTCAGAGTCACAGACAATCCGTTTATCCATGATCAAGACGAAAAATCATTCGCCGAGACAGCTGTACAGTCAGTAGCCACATAGTGGATTTCATCACCAGACGTGGAAGCTCCTGCCGGTTATCCCGGCGATAATAATGGTTTGGTCCGTTTAAGACGGCAGAGACCCAAGGAATGGAATTTTTATTCGGATAACCAAGAACCATACTTCCCAATTGCTTCGCCTTTTGCCATTCCTCTCTGGGGCTTTCCGTTCCCTCTCCGAATTCCGAGATCCAGCTGTGGCAGAGGAGCTTTGAAGCCGTTGTACACGACTACATGTCAAAGCACGGATGACGCGGGACCCTTAAAGGAAATGAGCATCGTCATGGGAACGACGATCTAGGCCCACATCTATAGTTTGAATGCTGTATTCTACTTTGTACATGGATAACATATCTGGATACATGATAATCGGCAGGGCAACATCATCATACATGTTGATCATCCAATGTGGGATGTGGGATGTGGAATATGCAGTATATAGTATAAAAGTACACCATACAGCGCCTATCTAGATCCTGACCTCTAAATAACAGTAAGCTTCCGGTTAACCCGCGGTGAAACACCCAAGGTCCCGGAACTTTCTCCCGGGTTACTCAACATTTCAGGTGTTCCGGAACTTCTTGAAACAAATATTCAACCTTCTAGAAGTTCACTTTTCCTTTCTTTTGATTTACAACCGAATTAAAAGCAAAAATAAAGCAAAAATCCCCCAAACCAGACTTGTGAATGTGATTGAACAAGGTATGAGGGACTTTATATTGGAGACCCACATGGATCGTCCCTGCGAAAACTCAACCCCGAGACCCTGGCGATGCCCGTATTTCCGGGGTCACGTGGGCTCCAAATCGAGTATTATGCTCCTATGTAGGACACTTCCAGGGCATTGCTTCTATCTCCGGCTTAGCCGAAATATACTGGGTTATCCTTATGTAGGGCTGAGGTAGCATAAGGTACGGAAATTTAGAATATGCACCTGGGCAGGTCCATAGCCTGAGTGATAGTGAATATCACTTACATATGTACAATTAATCTCACGTCATAGTCCAAGCCATGCATGGCTAGTGGGTAACAAAGTACTATGTGTCAACCGATACGAGTACTTGATTTCCTCTGCCCGGTGGGGCTTTCCTTTCTTAGCTGCCGCCGCTTTTATGAGCGCGCTCAGAGTCAGGCTCACTGAGTAGATTTCAGTCCGGTCTCAGACTCACTGAGCTGCTCAGACCAGTCACCTGATTTATCAGTGAGGTCTAATGAACGCTCAGTGAGCGCGCACTGATTACGCAGAGACTGCTCAGAGTCATCTATTGAGCACCTAGTCTACACTCACCCAGTCTACACTCAGACCATACCCAAAGAAGCACTTTGCCCCACAATACTATTTACTCTACAACTACTTTTTGATGGCCCTAATTTTCACGATGCTCCTCCTATTTCTGGAGGTGCATGATCTTCCAGTCTCATTACGCTCTCAAAAATAGGGCACTCAGCCATGATGACGCAAAACTGGAAGGCATGGAGTCCATCTGTCTGTGTCGTTTTGATGATCGAGGATATTTTGTTTTATATGATCAACAAAACGGACATCAATTGTCCCAGCGATCCGTCTTTACATTTTGAGTGATCTGAAAGATAGGAATGAAAAATAAAATAGAACAACGTGATTATGAAGACGGGGTTGAAAGAGTGCTGAGATCAGATGTGATGGGGATGGGCACCATTTAAATATTCCATGTCAGGGGTGGTGTGGCAAATATGACGGGTCGACACAATGCTAAACTTACACTATTGTTGAAAGTATGATTGACTTGAGGGGCCAATGGGCCAGGAAGACCATGAATCTTGAAGCTCTTATACCCGGACAGGTCGCTACACTGATGTCAAACCTGCTGCACAGTCATACTCTAGTCATGACGATTAAGGCCAAAACACCACATCGTAGCTCTAATTCTCAGCCAGCAATAGCCACTAAGAGACTATAGTTCGTAAAATATGTAAATGATAAAGCACGTCGCTCAAGTCGAAACAGTCAGAGATGGCATCGATGATTGTGCATGAGAATGACACACCATAACCAGTTCTTCCACAGGAAAGCAAGAATCCTTCTTCCATTAACTCCCCTCCGTTTTGCGCAATAAGTTCGACGCAGACTTTTCGAAGCCCTCATCGACAGTGAGCGGGTCAATGGTTCAGCACATTATGGAAATTATCTTTTTCTCTTCTGTGATCTTTGTTTTCTAAGCGCCGCAAGGCTCCCCGAGCAAGACGCCCACAGTACTATCGCCAATATTGGCAACGACGATATCGAGATAGCCATCCCCATTAAACTGGCCCACTGCGACGTCGTTCGGCTCGGATCCCACGGGGAATACGGCCTGTGGCTGGAAGCTCCCAGATCCAGTCCCGAGTAAGACCCTCACTTGACTGCCACTGAGACTCGTAGCCACAATATCGAGATTGCCATCTCCGTCAAAGTCGCCCACGGTAACATCATACGGTGTAGACCCCACGGGTAATATGGTTTGCGGCTGGAAGCTCCCCGATCCAGGCCTGAGCAAGAGGCTCAGTGTACCACCACCGACATTTCCAGTCGCGATATCGAGAATACAGTAGCTATGCTAGCGCATTAGGGTTGGCGGTAAAGAGGGCGGTGAACCTCACCCACTATAGGGGGGTGTCCAAACTATGGACCGTCACTGCCTTCTCCCCGTACGCTCCCGTTCTGCACGCTTTGCCCTATACTTCCATTACTGTTCTGCTTGCTACACTCCTTCTCTCTCTAAGCTTTTTGTACACAGCTCGTGGCCTAGTCAGATTGAATTAAGTCTCGCTTTAGCCCTTCACACAGACTAAGTGTTCCTGAAATTGCGTGGAATAACGCTATTAACCCGTGGTCCTCTAGCTTAGAAGAAACAGTCTTTCAATTAAGCGAATCACACGAGCCATTAGCTATACCGCTCGGTGGGTTCTTTGACTTATAGCCAAAGGCAGAAACAACGCGAAACAAGTCTACTTTCGTTACTCTTCAAACTAAAGATGGTATATCTCTCATAGTCTACCCTATCATTCCAGTTTAGGAAGGAGATACCCTTAGGGTATTTGCTAGAGTGATTCGGTACTCTTCAGAATATAGCGTTGTCTATGGTATACCTGGTCCCGAAGAAAATCTCTGGCTAGATTACTCCATAGTGACTAGGGTACTAAACTTTATAAGGGTATCAGCTCCTAGGGGTGACTCTAATGTTCGTCTTTAGTGGGAGCTCATCGATGGACGGAGTGAAGAAAAAGCGCATGTCATATAGAGAGTCTCGGTTATTGCTTTTCGGGCAATTCATTCATTTGAGGAAATTGTTCGCGCTGCCCCCTAAAAAGAACAATATATATCGCACCAGTCGCCAGCTTGCGCAAAGCGAGGATATACGAAATATCGAAGTTTCGGATCATTTTTTTTAATCTACTACGGAAACCTATAGTGGGTGGTTGCAAACACGCAAAGAGGGATAAAGATGTGGGATTAATAGGCGATATAGGCTCGATGTTGGTACAGCTTATGTCGGACAATGAGGCAGGTGAACGTCGGAGGTTGCCAGGCGTTGGTGCATATTGTGTTTTGGTCAGCTAGCACATATTACGGCACGATTGTCTATTTCCATCTCTGAATTGAAAATCTCGTAACTGGTCGGCCCGAGTTCCAAAGCTATAGTAACATCATTCTACTACTGTGTCTTTGGTCCTTGAACTGAGTTTGAAACTGCACAGAAGCCGGCTGCGCCTTTTAGTCCGGATTACCTGGTCATTATTCATTGCGGGCATCGCAACTTTTGACCGAATTTATCAAGACTGGGTGTCCATTCGGCTACGGGAGCTTGGAAGATACGGGCAAAATTATAAGCGGGTCAGTGCACGGTTTGACGAAATTAGCCAGGATGGTCACTCTTATTTTACTGGAGGGAGCGGTCATTATTTTTTAGGGGCCTAGCCAAATACAATTTCGATCCCAAAAATGATAAAAGGTCACGCCACAAATACTCGAAGCCGCTGCTCTGAGGGCTTTTGAGCGAACTGGGGTGGGGTAACAAACAACATGGATGCTGAGACAGGTGTTGATGAGGAAGTTGAAGATTTTATACGCGCGCTCAGACATGATCGTTGTCGGCGACTTATGGCGCGGGAGCACTCTTAATTCTGGACAGGGCGCGAAAGACGACAGCTTGTCCATAATTGGGATGAGGAATTCCATTTGCTTTATGTCGACACTGGCTTTGGGCCAGCGACATGTCATCGTGCACCCATTCTCTGTGACTTGATTAATGAGGGATGAAAGAGCTCCAGGACAAAGGAAACAACGAGGTTGACCAGTATAAACGCTCGAGCATGCCCAGCAGCACTTATTAGAGCTCGGAAACAATTCAATCGCTCACTACAATCAAACCGGCATACATATAGAGCTCGCGAAGCTTGAGGCAGGCAAAAATTGTTGATCCCATCTCCGAATTTGAGACCTCCAAAAATTTCCATGCTAAGTGGACTGGACAAAAATTGGAATCTGTAGGAGCCAAGCTGTAGAGGTCGTAGATTTTGAATCTTCTATATAAACTTTTAAGTTTAGAAATGGCTATACGCGAGGTATAATTCGAATGTGACGTAGTGAATAGAACGTAATAGGTATAGGAAGCTGTTCCATTTATGTCCACGGAGATAAATCTTTTCATATATCATATTGATTGTTGCCATACTGGGTCGATGTATCACCGTTCAAATCCCAAGTCCAACTTTCTTCTGTTCCTCTTTCATAACTTGCAACACCTTCACACAAATAATTTCCCCTACCAGCCCTTCTGATTTCTCCTCATCCTTCTTCCTTGCCAACCACTACTCTCAGGCAAGTAACTGATTTCTTCTCATTTTCCTTCGTACCATCAGTCTTATATTACGTCCAGCCACCACCTGATCTCTGTTCATCTCGTCTCTCAGTGGTGGACCTCATCTCCGTACATTTCATCTCCGTGCACCTCATCTCAGTGGACATCATCTCAGTGGACTCATCTCAGTGGACATCATCTCAGTGGACATCATCTCAGTGGACATCATCTCAGTGGACATCATCTCAGTGGACATCATCTCTCAGTTCAGTTTGACGCTTAGTTCACTTTGACTCTCACTTCTCATCTACTCCCTGCCAACCACCAATCTTCGGAAAGCAACCGACCTCTTCTCATTTTCTCTCCTGCCATCGATCTCATATTTCTTTAACATATTGTTTCTACGCGACTTAGTCAAATTTGAGCATCATGGCATCTCCTGCGCCTAGGACGCCCACCACTTTAGCCCTGCCGACTTCACCAACCGCATCATCGCCTCGGTCTCGTGAAACATCACCTTCAAAGATTCCGGTCCGAGTTAATTCCACAAAAGTGGCCGTGCCAGAGCTTAAAGCTGCCCTAGAAAGGGCAGTAAGAGCAAGAGGAACCCATTATTCGAATATTCTGGCGTTTTCTGTGTACTGGGATGATGACAATACCCTCGCTAAGGAAGACAATCAAACATTTATTGCCATGATGCGTGATATATTCGACGTTCCCTGCGAAACCTTTGTGCTTCAAAGCAAAAGCCCGATTCCTGCATGGGACCTGAACCTGCAGCTCATCCAAGGGATCAAAGCGAAGATCAAGAACCAGAAACCATCTCTCCTCGTATTTTCCTATATCGGTCATGGGGTGATTAATAATCTGGACGGGCTGTCTTTCTCTAGCCGGAAAGGCAACAAGCTAGTTTCATGGAGCACAGTGCAAAGTGAATTGACCCCTCATGGTTTGCCTATGGATCTTTTCGCTATCCTCGATTGCTGTCATTCCGGAAATGCAAGCACTAGCTCTCCAAATTCTACACATGTGTTAGCTGCTTGTGGCGCGCCCCTATGGGCAAGATCGCGCACGTCCGGTATATCCTTCACACAAAGAGTTGCACGAGCAATCCGACACATTTTCAATTCAGGCAAAGTGTCTATTTCGACCGAGGAGATCTTTCACGCAGTGCAGAAGGAGACTCCAGCTGGTGCCTATATGCCTCGATTCTCGAGTCATAGTGGAGTAAAGCCGATCATTTTGCCGTTCAAAGTCGCAGCTACTTCTGGTTCTGGAATTTCTTCTTCGGGAGCGTCATCATCTGGCCGTAAGTCGAGTCCAATGCCTTCTTTGCCTTCAAGAACACCGCCACTAACCCCCCACAATCGAGAAACACAAGTGCTCGTCATGCTCATACTCGAAGGAAAAGCTACGGAAGTCGTACGGGAGTTTCAAAATGTGATCGAAACAATGCCAGGCAAGTTTCAAATAAAGATAACTGAAGCGTTTGAGACCAACGCATCAGCCGGCGTGTTTGTCCGAATGACATGGGAAGCATTTGCCCGCTTGCTGTCAACTGTCAACATGGAGCCGCTGCTTCCTATTGTTGGGCCCTCGCTTGTTAGCGCCCAACTTCGTGAGGTTCCCACTATTCCCGCAGGAGAGAACCTGCCATTTAGGGAGAGAGCTCAGCGCAAAGAATGATCCCGCTGCAATTTCTTCTTCCCCCGCCTCACCCAACTTCTCCCCCCGGCTTTTCTTGCTTTGCTTTTGCTTACTACCTACGGTTTATGGATCCCCTAGTTCTAGTTTGCTTTGTTCTCATGCTTTGATGTTCACTGCTCGCTCTTTGATTTACACTTTACGTTTCTTAGTGAACCATCGAGAATAGTGATTCTATCTCTTAGCTTAGGTTTAATTGCTATGTTGCACTATGGGTGCTATTTTATAATTTCTTTTCCGTATATCGTATTTAAGCTGGTCAAGGCTTTTATATTGACAGGTCTAGCATTTGTAAATGATTTCTTGGTAAGAGAGCCTATTTATGCATGGGTACGTGTGATATAATATACAATGATACGGAGTACCTGAACGAGTACAAGTACATTGATGTGAAATTATCCGAGCAGCTCCATCGATGGGCTATCGATAGAGTCTGTTTATGCTTCAAAAGTTGGAGGTACGACTATATGTCAGTTATGCATACGAATACGGCAGGATCTTAGGTCTATCGCACCAACCGGGTTTTTCGCCAGCCAAGGTTAACTAGCTGCTATGAATCAACATTTATGCATATACGTATGTAGTCTTTTAAAGATCTAGAAATAGCTCATATCAAAGGTGCCCCACTAACAATATTAGGGACAATTAGCTAATATATTCTAAGAGACCCTAGAAAAGACTCTGGAAGATACCGATAGAAAGATGATGGCAACATGGTTCTTATAGTGGGCTAGACTTTCTGTACGGGATGTACGAGCGATGTATCAGAGCGCTCAGAGGCGTGCTTAGTTGTACTTAGTGAGCAAAAAGCGGCAAGGTCTGAGCACCAAAACGGAAAGGGAACGCCAAGAAGTGGCAGAGGAAATCAAGTACCTAGGTGACTACCAAGCGGGGGAATGTCTAAATTAAATCAAACTCTTTAAAAAGTGAGCAGCTGAAAGCTCCATGTACATATGTGGACCACATAAGCATCTCGCATTTCTAAGGAAGACTTGGAGAAATCGTATTTTTACCATATGTGAGTTCCCTTTTGGCTCGCCTTGTTCGGCCGCACATGACGTCGAAAATGGCCCCATTATCGATTCCCGCCACGGCCCACGGGCGACTTGTGCATACACTTTGTTCCTGGCACATGGTGCAGGGCTTCCTGACTGCACTCCGTTAATAAATCCTACATTACCACACAGTAGAGCATCTGATAGGTCGGACTAGGAACTGCTAGCGCCCCTGGCTTGCTACGATCATAATTGATTGGCAAGTATAGACAGGGCTGCGGAAGCCAACCAAATTGTAGTGTATAGCGTTGCAGTCGCCCGTTCTGCGGTAGGTAATGAGGTATCATTGGTCCGTGGTTTAGAATTTGCAGGCAGGATTACAAAAGTTGTCAATCACTGGATCGTTTCGTGGAGGAATTGACCAGGGTAGAACTATGTATCAGGAAAATGTATCGCATTTCCGTAAGATTTATGAATATCCTCCTAATACTCTGTAGCATCCATTATGTAACTAAGTAGCTAGTTACCTACATATGTAGCTTGGTCTATTTGATCTTCAAAGAAATCGACACCCAAGCTGAGACGGGGTTTGGATCATGTCGGAGCTCTCTGAGTAGTCATGTGCAATATGTTCCCGTTTTCGATATATATATATATATATATATGTGTATAACGAGAAAATTTCCGCGTTGTATGAATGAGACAGATGGAAAATGGAAGAATGGCTAATTGCTGTATTGTAGACCGTGCGCCTCATCTCCTCTCACTCTCTCCACCTGCGATGATCACGTTGGAGCAGCACGGAAATCGATCGACACCGCGGGTCGTGCTCGGCCATGTGGAGTGTCAGTACACGACCCGCTGACGTCAGGTTAGCATTTTACGTCCACGGGTACAATAGTGGTTACAGCGAGGTAGTTCTGGAATTTCTGTTATGTTTAATTGGGCGTACAACAAGTATGCAACATACGGTTTTCAATGCGGGGTAGAGCAGCATTGTACGTTGAGATTGGCGCTGGATATCATTATGGGGTGTCGTAGGATATATCCATGGATGTATGTAGGTACAGCGTAGAGCAACTCTGACAAACGGCTACGTTCTGCGGTTCTATCCAACGTATATATCCGGAGAGTAGGTGGCTTTGAGCTATATTCGCTGTTAACAGTGAAAAGGCAAGAGGATTGCACGGTTAGCAGAGGTACTGGATGGAGATGTCGTAGTCTATACTGCAATATGGATTGAGATTGGCGAAGAAGCTAAGAAGCTAGACTGTGGCCAATGACGTATAATTGAGAGGACGAAAGAAATGTTAATGTGCAATGTCGGCCCCGGGGATGGAAACTAGAGTAAGATGATAGCTAAGGCTGAAAGGTGGAGAGAAATAAAAATTGTCATCGCCTGGATTGACCAGTGATCAGAACGGCACACCGGGTCTAGACGATACGGAAGGCAGGCCAAGGAAAGCGATTTGATGGATAAGAAATACACTCCAAAATATCAAACCGCTAGACCAAGGTACCGTACCACTAGGCCAGGGCAAGCAGCGGTCTATAACACACACAGAGCCTCAGTAACAGCGTGCATTTACTTTCCAATGTATCTATCTAGCCTCCCAGTGGGGCTGCTTGACCTCCACCTTGCTGCTTTACTTTGACCTTGTACATCCCCTACGATGCAGATCCCATACAATATCAGGTGTGCTAGGTAGGATCGCTCACCCGCGTATATCTGAACTAGGCTTATATGCACAGAACACGAACGCTAAATCTACGTTTACCGATGTGAAGGACCTCCCAGAACACGTGGTTGGTCGTCAAGCTTGCTGAGACTGGGAGGCAATGCCCGTACGTGCGAACTACCATTGGAGGGGAGATAACGCGGATGCAAGACGAACCGCCCCCAAATCTAAGTCGTTGAAGATAGACGTGCAAAATGTACAAAATTTCCATACAGAGGCACTTGTGATTGTTGTTTGTCTGCACTGTTGCGGGCTTCGAGTCCATATCAACCATAGTATCTGCCTTTTATTGGTTGTTACGGTGTCAGAGGTCATCCAGTGTTTATTTTATATTAGTGGTGCAAGTGTAAATCAACATAAGAGAAGTCATGGTGCGAATACGTACTGGGTAGAGCTCTCCCCTCGCGACCGTTGGTTGAAATTGTTAGATAACTGTAAGTCTGTATGTAAGTAACTTACTTCCATCACATTTGTGACAGGCCTGAGATACATCTGCCAGCTGATCCTTAACTGATCGTGAAAACAAGACTGGTATCACTTGTATACTTGATGTTGATGTCGAGGTTAGAGCTAGAAAGGCAAAATGGCGACGGATGGTCCTGGATCATATACGTTGTGCGAATGATTGCCAGGTTACGTTTCGTCGTTCTGCGGGAATTCTAGGGATGATGGGCATTTTGATCTAGTTGGTGTGTTTAGCATTTTGGCATGCCGCCCTAATCTGGAAGTGTCGTGTGATCTTCTAGCCGATCGGCCCGGGCGATGATCTTTTATTCTTCAGCTTTTTTTCTTCATTAGATTGTCTCTTCTCAGAGGCGATGGTATTAATGTCTATAATAATTCCGTGTGGTGAGAACGCGAAGTGTACGCATTGCGATGGGACCTCCTGGCTCAGCGGAGTGAGTCAACCCTTGTCAGCAAGTGCCTCTTATTCGTTAGCATGCTCTTTGACAAAGCAAGCAAGGCCTCCTGCACCCCTTTGATAACAACGCCGTGTATTCAAATACATCAGTTGCCCGACATGGACTGTCATATCGTACCTTCGTGTCTGGGGTTTTGCTCTTGAACGTATCCATGCAAGCCTCACCACGGTGTTCTTCATTGACTATCCTTGGGACCTGCTCTCAAATACTTCAACTCTCTGTTACAGAGAATAAGCACCTTGCCAAAAACGGTGAATCGGTCAGAACCAGGTAAATTAGCTCGTCATTTGAGCCTGAAAATCACCCAAAATCGGTCTACAGGACTGGTGTTACCCCAGGGAACACATCCATTGAGAACCGGGTACCTTCCAAGCCACACTGAAGACCGAAGTCTCAATTTCTGTAGCTATGGTAGGTGCTCGGCCACGGGTGTAAGATCCGTGTGAGACAACAACCGAAGAAGCCCGATTTTGGGCGTTTTCAGACTCAAACAAGGAGTCAATCCACCTCGATCTGACGTCGACTATGTCGAATCAAAGGTGATCATAACATCGATAAGCCATGTGGGAAAGTGCTGCGCAGCAACCCTGTTCAGGACCAATCCGAAGAATCCAACCTGGGTTGGTTTGCAGGGCACAAAATCAAATCAAAGGCCAGATCGCTGCTTGACCGCCTACAAACTTTCTGCCCTATCGTCATTCTCCGTTAAGTCCGAGTCGGGCAGTCGGGATTCCGAATCGCCGGACAATGGCCGGGGAAGAAGAGATGGAAGTTCCGAGAAAAGGAAAACAAGAAAAAGAACCGGAAGTAAAACGTGACTCACTTCCAGGGACCCCCCTTTTTCCCAAGGTTTCAACGGAATAAATTGACGCTGATTGGTGCTCTATCTAGAACTTCGACTTTTCACCTGACCTGTTTGACGTTTTATCTCTCATTCTCCGTATTCAGCTTACTATCGACGGCAGTACCGCAGTACTGGATACTTGCCCTTGGTGTATTCTCGAGATGACCCGACGGGATACCCCCGCGCTACAGGGAAGATCTGATACGCCAGATACAATGCATTATTGTACCAGTACAGAACCCGTCGTAAAAGACTCTTGATACATAGGCAATCTGAGGAATGAGGCGGAGCACAAGAGCTACGTAGATTTTCAAGCGGAGTCCGAAGAGGATTCTCCGGAGAAGATCGGCCCTAACAGACTGGTCCACTGTGAAACTCCATCTCCTTCCAGAAACCATATGTAATATTATTACTCCGTACTTGGCCCCTCGTTCTTTTTTTCCAGGCTTCCATATTCTCTCTCACGCACAATTCCTGGCCCTGTCAACAACAGGTCCTTTTAATACTATTCTCTTAATCTTGCATTTGCGCGTTCATTGGCGACAAGCTGTCGTCAAATGAACCTGCACTTTCGCTATTATCTTGAGTGCAAGGTAAGAGCACGTGAGAATGAATCCTTGACCAACACTGACTTTTGCCCAGCATTGCCTCTTTGTTCTAAAGAGGTTGCCCATCAGATAAATGGTTTTCAAACCATTCACCCACCTCGCGCGCCAGAGTTTCACCAAAGCCTTTACTCATGGCTATGCTCAGTCCGTAGTCGCCGCGTCGCAGTCGTACGCGTCGACAACCCCCTTTAACCAGCTCGCCGCCCAACCCGCCAAATTCTCCCGCACAACCCAATTGCAGAATGCTTTCTCCAATGCGTCCAGTTCATCCGGCGCTGGCGCCAAGACAAGTCAGGGAGGATCTGGAAATGGAGATCTCGGTCTTGCTGCCTATTATGCCGCATGGCAGAACGCCCAGCAGACCGGTGACGACAGCGACTGGACCCAGTTCGAGTTCAAGCGCCGTATTGGCTGGAAGCCCTCGGCGGAGGAGGCTGATAACGTTAAGGAAGACCGGGCTGCGTCCGATCTAGCTCACCCTCATCCTACCAAGGCTGCCGTGAACGAGGATGTTAGTGCCCAAGTGGAGGCGGCTGTGGCCCGTGAGATTCAGATCCAGGAGGAGCAGGCACAGGCCGAGGAGGCTGCGCTGGGAGCAGAAGCGAGTGTTGAACCCACTGTTGAGGATGTCGCTGTTTCGGAAGGGGTCTCTGAAGCCACCCAGGTCGCTTCGGATCGCATTGTGCAACTGGTCGACTCCAACAAATTTGCTGAAATTCCCGCTGCATTCGAGAGTCTGCTCCGAGAGGGATTTACTCCGACTGTCGGGGCATATAATGCCCTGCTGCTCGCTGCCATCCGCCTTCACCCTGATGCAGCTCTGGCCATCCCGAAGGCCCTCGATGTCTACTCTGACATGCTTCGTCGAAGGGTAATTCCCGATGAAGATACCTATGAGACTCTTGTTCAGCTTCTGGTCACCCGGGCTCACGATATCATCAAGGCCAAGGAGGCATTGGAGCAGGAGCGCGTTCGATTCGGTGGTATGGAAGAGCCTGGCAAGTTCATGCTTCAGTCGAGTGAACTTGAGCGGGACCTTCTTGCCGAGGACACTTCGCTGTCCATCGCTGTCAAGCTCTTTGATACCGCCACGGCACGACACGACCGACTTGTGTTCCCGCTCGAGTTGTACCGTCACCTTATCATTGCCTGTGCCGAGGAAGGTAAGGTGGAGGATATGATCCGGATTTACGCCCATATGGAATCACAGAAGATGACTCCGCATGCCACCATCTTCCCATCCATGATTACCGCATTTGCTTCCACTGGTGATCTCAAGAGTGCCGTTGAATGTTATACCGAGTACCGAGGGCTCGCTGTCTCCGATGACAGCGGCGTCTTCAGTATCGTTCAGCGCCAGGACGGCCAGGTCTATGCTGCTTTGATCCGTGCTTACCTGTCCTGTGGTAAAGAGGAGGGTGCCACACAGTTCCTTGATCGCATTCGTTCTTCGTTCGATGAGGTAACCGAAGGTCGCCAGGACCGATGGTCTGCAGTGGAAGCTGTGATTGTCGAGGATGCACTTGTGCAGCACTCGATCAACACGGGAGACCACAGCAAGGCATTAGAGCAAGCTAAGAATCTGTTGCATGATGAAGCTCGGAATCAGGCCATTTCTCGCATCTGTATTGCTGCGGCTGATGCGGGCGATCTCCCCACCGCTTCTGAGGCTTATGATAGTCTGCCCACCGCACCTGACGTCCGACAGAACCCAGCCATTTCGCTACTGGCCCTTCAAGTCCGCCGGGGCGACGTTTCGGCTGCCCGTTCCTTGTGGATCATGCTGAACACGGTGGGTCAGGCAACCCCGGATCTGGTCCAGCCGACGGCTATGTATGCGGTCGCTCTACTCAAGAGTGGAAATGTCGAGGAAGGTCTTCACCAGGCCCGCCACATGTTCAAGCGTATCCGCAGCGCCGCCCAGGATCAACACGCTGCTGTCGCCAGCCCCATCAGGGAACAGATTACCGAGTCACTCCATCTCTTTGGTCGCGTCCTCATGCAGTCGACCGCGGTTCTCTCCCCTCAATCATCTATGACACTGTTGTGGTCCATGCTAGAAAACGGCGGTCTAGTGTCTCCTCTGGCTGAGCACGCTATCGCAAACCTTGGCCCCATCGGTATCTCCCAGCTCAAGGCCGCCGACCTTACCCTGGCGCTCCAAGTCCAGGCTGGCATGCTGGTCAGCAGCGGTTCTATGCTGTTTGATGTCGCTCATCCCGTTCGTTTTGCGCACATGCTTGACGTCGCTCTGTCTTCTGCCCTTCCTCTGGACCTCTACACCACTGGCCTCGTCGATCAGGCTGTTGGAAAGCTCTTTGTCAGTCGCCCTGATGTCGTCAAGAAGTGGCAAGATTATCTGGAGGGAGACTCCCAGGCCTCCGTTTCGCCCTCTCAGATGTTCCTTTCATCTGATCGTCATAGCCCCGTCTCTATGGCGGAGACCTCGATCACCACTCCGTCTGCGGCTCCTGAATCGTTTGATCCTTATGCTCACGCGACCGACTTCCGTGGATCTGCCATCATCGCAGAGGAGCTTGAGAAGACTAGCGGGCGCGCCGAGACTCACCTTAATGAGGCTCTGACTCGTCTGAACAACATGCGCCGCATTGGTCGTCACCCGCGCTATATCACCTACGCTAAGCTGATTACCGCCGCAGCCAAGGCTGGTCGCATGACCCTGGCTCACGAAATTCACAGCATGGCACAGACCGATGTTCCCCTCGATATGAACTTCAGCGTTGTCAAATACGGCTGGGTCTCCATTCTCGATGCCATGGTCGCGGCTTGCCTCACCCTTGGCGACCGCAAGCTGGCTGCTCAGTACCACCAGGAGCTTCTCAATCTCGGTTCCGCACCCTCGGCCAACACTTTCGGCTTGTACATCACCACCCTCAAGGAGTCTACCAAGACCTTCGACGAGGCTACTGAGGCCCTCAAGGTCTTCCACCGTGCCGTCGCTGAAGGCGTGGAGCCCACTTCCTTCCTGTACAACGCGCTGATCGGCAAGCTGGGCAAGGCACGCCGCATTGATGACTGCCTTGCGTACTTCGCCGAGATGCGTGCCAACAACGTGCGCCCGACAAGTGTTACCTACGGAACCATCGTCAATGCTCTCTGCCGTGTGAGTGACGAGCGCTTCGCCGAGGAGATGTTCGAAGAGATGGAGTCCATGCCCAACTACAAGCCGCGCCCTGCGCCTTACAACTCGATGATCCAATACTTCCTCAACACCAAGCGCGACATCAGCAAAGTCTTGGCCTACTACGAGCGCATGCAGACACGTAACATCCAACCCACCCTACACACCTACAAGCTTCTCATTGACGCACACGCCTCCCTGGAGCCAGTGAACATGGCCGCTGCCGAAGCCGTGCTGGAATCCATGAAGGCCGCAGGCCACCAGCCGGATGCCGTGCACTACGCCTCGCTAGTGCACGCCAAGGGCTGCGTCCTGCACGACCTCGCTGGTGCGCGCAAAGTCTTCGACACCGTAATCTCCGACCACCGTGTGCGCCTCCAGCCATGCCTCTACCAAGCCCTTTTCGAGTCAATGGTCGCCAACCACCGCGTCACCGACACCGAGGAAGTCGTCCAGAACATGCTCGCACGCAAGGTCGAGATGACCGCCTACATTGCCAACACGCTCATCCACGGCTGGGCCGCCGAGGGTAACGTGACCAAGGCCAAGGCCATCTACGACAGCATCGGCATTCAGAAGCGAGAGCCCAGCACCTACGAAGCGATGACCCGTGCATTCCTGAGCAACGATGATCGCGCCAGTGCCGCCACTATTGTCCAGGAGATGATGTCGCGCGGATACCCTTCTGCGGTGGCTGGCAAGATCGTCGATCTCATCGGTGGAGCTTCCTCGTCTCTCTAATTTCTCTTGCCTATAATTGTGACCAGGTGATACCCATTTAATTTTTGCACCCCTACAATCTCTCTGCCAGGGCTGGATCCCTGTGTTGGGATATTTCCGGTTCGGCGTCTGCAGGGCGGCAGTTGGATATACCTGGTGGGATATCTATTCTTTTTTTTTGATTCATATATTTTGGCATCCAGCGAAGGTCCGGAGTTTATTTTGGCGATCAAAAAGGGCGTGCGTCGAAGCACTGTATACCATTGTGTTTTTTTCCTGTCCATAGACACATCTCAACTCTCAGACGGCGTTTTAGACGCAAAAATCAAAATGAAAAAGAGTGAACGACTCAAATAGTTCTCTACCTAGGTAATCTTCTTACTCTTCTATATATCATTTTCCGAGGAAATGGCATGACATCTCGGAAGTTCCCGCTGAGACCAAGACATACATTTTTATATTCCGGAACTCACAGCTTCCAGCTTGGACTTTTACCTCTTCAAATCTCTGGAAATTGAGGTATTACACTCATTCCATCCACCCATCATTTAATGCAGACCCCTTTGCCCTTCACTTTCCGTTCGGCCGTTGACTCATTCCTCCGCACCGTTCCCCGCCAACCCCGCGCCAACTTCGATATTCCTCAACCAACCAACCCAGCAATCGCAAACCAGCAATGGACCAAAACGAACACCAGACAGATGCCCACCGGCGTCCGAAGAAACTAATCTGTAAGTCTGAAAATCTACATGTCAAGTCATCCCCTCTCTACACAAAGATCCCACCAAACCCTCCCCATACGAACCTCAAGCTAACACCAATCCAAAGTCGCACCAGGCGACGTTGCACCAACCTCCAAGGAGCCCACCCCAGAACCCCAGCCCCAAGCAGCCATCGACCTAACTATAGAAGCCCTCCGCACCTCAGCCTCAACGCCAGACTCCACGACAGAAACCGAAGTCCTCTCGAACGCCGCGCGCGCGCACCAATTCGGCACAAACCCACCCCTAACCATCTCCCAAATCCACGGCACAAACCCACTCCACCAATTCAACACGTGGTTCCGCGACCCGCGCCTCCCAGCCTCCTCCGCCCCGGAAACATGCACCCTATCAACAGCCTCCCTGCCCTCGGGCCGCGTCAGCGCGCGCATCGTATACCTAAAAGAACTCGACGAGCGCGGCTGGGTCGTCTACAGCAACTGGGGTAGTCGGGAAGGCAAAGGCGGACAAGTATTCGGGCTCGGTGAGAGCGATACGCTCGGGGCCATGCCCGAACCAGACTCAGAGCCAACGGTGACCTCTGAGATCGGGTCTGGAAATAAATGGGGCGCGCTGACGTTCAGCTGGGCCACTGTTGAGCGCCAGGTTCGGATTGAGGGCTTGCTTGAGCCGCTTAGTCGTGAGGAGAGCCAGATGTATTGGCGGACGCGCGAGCGCGGGAGTCGGATCGGGGGATGGGCGAGTTGGCAGAGTAGGGTTTTGTGGTCTGCGGAGCCGCCGCAGCTGGAGGAGAATCAGCGGAGGAAGAGCGTGGCGAAGTTGCAGGGGGCGTTTTCTGGGGACTCCGTTGTTCCGGCGGATATTGATCTGACGGATGTTGAGGACGGACGGACGTTGTTGGAGTCGAAGGTTAAGGAGATGGAGGAGAGATTTGCCGGTGTTGAGGATATTCCCCTGCCGCCCTTTTGGGGTGGTGTGAGGCTTGTGCCGGAGTCTGTGGAGTTCTGGCAGGGACGACGGAGTCGCTTGCATGACCGGTTCCGGTATGTGCGTGTTGAGGGCGAGGGGGAGGGTGCTAAGTGGCGGCTTCAGAGGCTGTCGCCGTAGTGGTAGATAGAGATAGTTGCATATCTACTGGTATTGCGCTTGGGCCTTCAAGCAAGTGCCTCGAGCTTGATCTTTCGCGTGGCTCATCCATATCAGCCTATCTTATCACGATCATTATCAGTCTTGGCACGCGAACTCCTTCAACGTCACTCCAAAATATCTAGCCCTCGAGTTCTACGCTATCTGGATATAGCCTGCAATCCCATATAAAGGGGTGTTTGATATACCACAAGATATACAGTCATTTATCAACAGCCATGTCCACCACAACGCCCCCGTCAATCCCTCAATTCTCCACATCCCCCTGGATCATCCTCGCAATCACGAGCGGCGCCTTCGCTGCATTGAACGGTGTTTTCGCGAAATTGTACGTTGACCATTCTATAACTCAAGAAGCAATGCTATCTACATAAGCTATATATAAACTATAAGCTACCTAGGCACAAGCTATTCGCGTGTAACCATGTTAATGTTCCACAGAACAACGGATGACCACACAACGGCCTTCGCACAATCCCTCGCCCACCTCTTCGGTCTGGAGTCATCGCCTCTGATTGAGATGCTCACTCGAGGTGTATGTTTACCCTTTCTTTTTTCTTTATATCTGGACTATCCATATTCTCTAAACCCGAGTCCAAAGATTACCCATCTACCGCAACATACATGTATAACTGTGTGCTGTATTATAATAATTATGTTTTCTGTTATAACTAACGATATCTATTCAGGCCTGTCTCGGCTTAAACGTCCTCTGCAATATAATAATGTGGGCACTTTTCACGCGCGCGCTAACAGCCGGCCCCTCGACGGTCAAAGTCTCCATCACGAATACCGCGTCGAATTTCTTGGCGACGGCGCTGTTCGGGATGGTCGTTTTTCAGGAGGCTGTTGGTGGGCTTTGGTGGTTGGGAGCTGCGATGATGGGTGCTGGGTGTATTTTGGTTGGGATGCGGGAGGGGGCGTAGGACTTTTGGAGTTGGATTTTGATTTGAAGTTACATATAGGTTGATTGGATTTATAATTGCTTTTAGAGAATTTTCGATAGGCTGAGGGCTTTGAGACTTTGGTTGGCTTCGATGATAGTTGTACGGAAGGAGTATGCGGGTTTGTAGGTGGTTTCAGAGATTTGGATGTTCCTTGATATCTGGTCCTCTGTTCTATCGATATTGGAACACAATTTTCCAAGTTATAGCATCCCATGTCCGCCTGCCCGTCACACGTGCCAGATGGCGGAATTGTATTGTTGGTGGTCCTATACGCAATATACAGGGCTAAAAGCAGTTAGCTAATCTTAAATCATGCGAAAGGAAGCGGTTGAAGCTACGACGACAGGGAAACAGTATCATCCGTATAGCCGCTATCTATCACATGAGGTGCAATTAAAGTGTCAATCTCCACTCCTCAAAGACCTTTTGGCAATCTTCCAGCACATCTAAACCAAGGGTCTGCCCCTGCCGAAATGAAGACAGCCATGTCCAATCGCTCTTCCGGGTAACTCCTGCATATCCCAACAGGAAATCCCGAATCGTTTGCAAAAAGCCATCTGGGATGTGGAAAAGCTTCCGATTCATGACTGCTCCTTGGACATTTCGGGTTGTGCGTGCTTTCCGGCATTTTTCGTACAGAGTTAAAACAGCAGCCGTGAGATCTTGAGCCGAAGATCGCGTCGAGATGGACGGGTCGCTTCCAGAGTTTCCAGGCTTCAGATAATGAACCTGCAATAGGCCAAGAAGCTTGCCAATGACTGCTCCGTCTTCGACGGCCATCGCAGCCCCTTGTGCCTGATATGGCAGAGTGGGGTGGCAGGCATCGCCAAGTAAAGCAACAGATCCCTAGTGACTCCGCGTTAGCAAGTTCACGATTGGAAGGACATGGTGATGTACCGACATTGGTCCACAATTCCAGCTCGGAGAGATGTGTCAATTTCCATTTATATACCGATGGCACACAAGAAACCAGCTTTTGCAATCTAGAAAAGCGAGAAACATGTTAGTGGGTAACTGGAGTCGAGTATTCCAGGGCTCCTTACGTTTCATCCCAGTCGGCATAACTCTCTCGCATCTCCGCAATATCTCCCAGCTCTCTGCGAGAGTCCAAAGATAAATTATCGGGCCGCATGAGAACAAGATTGAACTCCTCTCCACCACGGAGAGGGTAGAAAATGGTATGCTTCTCCGGTCCCAGCCAGCTTGTGACCGCAGTTTTCTGACACAGTTCGTTTACTTTTTCATCACCCAATGCCTCTAACTGCTCTCGTGAAAAGGTCGCTCGATACGCCATGTCGCCCGTTGGGACTGGGGAATGAGGATATCCAAGAACAGCCCTTCGGACCGTGGACATTTGACCTTTTTTATGTCAGAGATAGTGAAAACAAAGCTAGAACAGATATATTAACGTACCGTCAGCGCCAATCACAATATCTGCCGATATGCATCTCCCATCGGCGAGAAGAACCGCTGCCTGCTCGGTGTAAACATCCTCTACTTCTGCCCCCAGCTGAAGGACCGCACCGAGTCGGATCGCTTCATCAAGAAGGATGCGATGATAGTCCACCCGATGAATAATTCTGCAAAGGGGTTAATAGTGTGTAAACGCCATGGATAGGCCAATCACGTACATCCACGGCGCCCCGAACTCTTCCGTGATATCGTCCCCAAATGGCATTGATCGCAGAAGACGACCATCCTTGTACCTCCGAAAGTCTACTTGTTGCACCTGACTTCCTTGCTCCAGTAGTTGGGGAAGTAGGCCAAAGTCGCACATTATCCTACCGCCATTTGGTGGGATTTGGATGCCTGCTCCAACTTCGTGGACTTCGGCGGACCGCTCGAGAATTTCCACGTCGATACCTTCACGACGACAAGCAATTGCACAGGCCAGGCCACCTAGACCTCCGCCGACAACAATAACCTTCATGATCTCCGTTGATGTCAAAGTGATGTTCCTTGGGCTGCGTTTGATTCCGAATTAGGACTAGTGGGATTCTGGTTGACACCGTGCAGCTTCGTATGCAGACAATATCTCCATGGATGTGTGGGACTTCAGGTTTAGTCCATGGGTGAGACACTCAATCTGCTGTGTCATAAGACTTGCTTGCCAACTTGGAGATGGAAGCCGTATATTTTGATGGAATTGTGGAGGGGGAACATCACCGGGTCGCCCTGGACACAGCCACGTAATATCCAAGGGGACACGACCTTCCAGAGACATCAAGCAATCAACCGAAGATACTCTGTTGCGTGTTTTTATTTCTTGAAAAGTGGCCTGGATACACTAGAGTGTGACAGCACGTGACTGAGCGATTTCCCTACGAGCAGCTTATCTCGAGTTCTTTCAGAAGACGACTCTTCTCGCCCATATCCGGAAAACACATGATGCAGTTTTTCTCTTGGCCTCGGTCACACCTTCTCGAGATTGGCGACCGGAATTGGTGCCCATCGTGGCTTCACCGGCACGAGCAACTGGTTCTCACCCAGCTGTGGAATCTTCGAGTTCCCGGGTGGAGCCATGGAAATCTTGCAAAACAGGCATGTGCAGTGCTCAAAGAGCACCTGAAAGATCTCTCCTCATATACAGTTCTGGACATATGCGCCGGTGCCGGTGGACCTACCCCAGTCCTCGAATCAGAACTCAATGAAGAACTCGAATCCGAGGGCAAGAGCCCTGTTCGGTTTGTTCTGAGCGATCTTTATCCCCATATTCGAGAGTGGGAGCGAATATCGAAGAAGCAGCAGAACGTCACGTATATAGACAGCCCGGTAGATGCTCGAGCTGTCCCTCGATTTGCAGCAAGTTCGAAAAAGGAGTGTCGCATCTTCAATATTTGTTTCCACCACTTCGGGGATGAAGATGCAGCGGGGATTCTCAAGAGTGCAATTGAGACCGCTGACTCGTTTATGCAAGTTCTCGTTTCATCAATACCATTTGTTCCGTGCTAATTCGATTCCCTTCAGCATATTCGAAATCACATCACGCGATCTTTGGACTTGTCTGTGCTCGCCTTTGGTCTTCTTTTGGGCTTTCGTTGTAACTCTTGTTTGGTACTGGGATTCGCCAATCCATCTCTTTTTCACGTTCATTCTACCCGTGGCGCCTCTGACAGCCTTCATTGATGGACTTATATCCTGTCTCCGAACCCGCACCACAAAGGAAACCTGGCAACTGCTGGATCAGCCAGATCTTGACCTCACCAACTGGACCTTTCACAGTGGACAAAAGACTGTTCAATTTCCTTTCATCACTTTGTATTACCACATTGGCATCAAATCATAACAGGATGTCCATCTTGCTTTCTTTGTAACTATGTTTCCCTGAAGATGTGCCTAACAACCCAGGCCTCTATTCATATCGCCCTATATATAACTTAATATAACCTGTCTTTTATTCTACCCTCTTTGATACCAGCTGCTATATGCTATTGTTACCCTATGGCATAGTTTGGTAATGGGACTATATACACCTGGATAATTAAGTTCATGTGATTATGCTGACCTATACCAAAAGCGGAAGCGGCCTTGATGTGTGCCTGAAGGCCGATGATAGGTTGCATCCCATGTTTTGCTTTTATTGCCTTTTATCGAGAGATCTTCTAGTTCCCAAAATAGGAGCGGAGCTTGGATGTTGTTATATACCTCCCGCTGTCCTGCAACTACACATGTACCGTTCTTTTCCTTTCAACTCTATATCATTATCTTTCTCATCCAGCTCTCACTGTCATCTCTTTCATACATCCAAGTACTTCCATCCAACTATATCCCGTTCGCTTCCTAAAAAGTTTTTACTTTCTTATCAAGTCCCTACTCAGTTCAGTATGGGCACCTCGGGTATCCAAAACCTCCCAGTTGAGCTACTGGCGGACATCGCCACGTTTACCGAGTCTCCTGAACTATGCGCTTTTCGGCTCACCTGCCGAGCGATGTATCAGAGCAGCCTTCACCACTTCGCACAAACTTTTGTACACACCTTAAAGACAGACCTTTCACCGAAGTCACTTGCCCGGGTCCAGGAAGCAGCGAACGATGAAACATTTCGCCCTTGTGTCCACAAATTAGAGATCGTCAGGAATTCAAAGGGTTGCCTGGGACCATTATCCCCTGATATCACATCAAAAGGAACATATATCCAAGCATGGCGTGATGTGATGAAACGCTTAGTGAACTGTCAATCTTTCGAGATGCGCAATTCAACCTATACAACACCGAAAATCGGTGACGATGGCATCACGCTTGACGAGGCCACTGGCCTTATTCTCGAAGCCATAGCTACTGAGCACATCCCGATGGGATCTTTCTCGATTGATATTATCAAATACAGAAGCAGAGACCACCATGATAACCTAACGCAATTTGGTATCACCACTTTTGGAATCCCGGCCTTTTCCAATCTCAAGGAACTGAGCCTTGCAGTCCCGGATGCCGAGTCTGGGACTATTGATTGGATGGCGAAGATGATTCAATGTGCCAAATCTCTCAGAAAGCTGACCATAATTTTCAGCTTCAACTGCGAATCAACTTCACTTCTCTCCCAGCTTTCATCGGTTGGATGCTTGCCCGAACTTGAAGAATTGACTTTCTCACGGATGTCATTCTACTCTTCGGCTGCTTTGACCATTTTCCTTTACAGTATTCAAGACTCTCTTCGCCGTGTGACTTTTTCTTTTGTGCAACTCGAGTTTGGAGGTTGGCGGTCCATTCTCCGCGAGTTGGCTGGAGGTGTATACCAGCTTGACAGCGTGAATCTGCATCGTGTACTAGAAGTGGATAAGTTTCTGAGCTTTCGGAGGATTCCAGGATACCAAATTGCGGAAAATGCCGTAGACAAGAGAATATATCGTCCGTTCCCATTGCGCGCGGAAGATGTGAGTTTCAGCTGCTCGGGTCCGGCTTTACAACAGGTTTTACAGAAAGCGGCCGACTTAGCAGAAGTTAGGCTGGGATGAGTTGGTTGGAAGTTATTCTATGTGTTTGTTCTGTTTTGGTATCTCAATGTAAACGATTACAGTCAAACGAACTACATATGTATATCAATACTCCTTGATTCTAGTGTATCATTGTAAGAAATCTCTACAGTAAACTGCGCTCACTGCAGAAGTCAGAATTTTGAATCCTGGATTACCATGTGTATATCGACGATGTGTTTAAAGACCGGCATACGTAACTTGAAATGAGAGCTACCAGGAGACTAAGAATCAAAAGAAGAATTATAGATGAAAATAGTCCGATAATTAAGAATCGGTAAGTAAAAGAGCCAAAAGGGCTCTTTTTGTGTTCTATGTTAGTAATAATCCATTCATGACCCAGGCCTAATATACATCTCAGTCTAGCTTCAAAGCATTGATAATCCGCGGAAAGATTTTCAAGGCATTCAGATTATTGATCTGTCCCATCACCACTGTGGTAAACGTACCATTATCCTCGATCGCGGATAATCCCGACGATGCCTGGGAGACAGGGACATAAGGATCTGCATGCGTTAGTATACTGCAGCTGCACAATTTCGGGGACGTTACTGGCACTGCCCACTTATGGTCAGTGATTTGATCCGCGCCAACAAAGCTCTTCAGAGTTATTAGCTGAATAGCAGAAGTCGAGGCAGCGGTGTCGAAATAATATCCGGCGAGTTGCGCAAGGGATTCAGGGACTGACAGTCCACCCAACCAGAGAAGGGAGGCCATGCCGGCAATAGGGGCGGCCAGATACGGGATTGCGCCACTACCGTGGGCGAAGATCATCTTGATATCCGGATATTGCGCACGTTGGCCCGTCAGCAGCATGTTATCAATGGCACGCACAGTGTCGAAAGGATACTCGGTCATTGGGATGGGCCAGCCCTGGGCGACAAATGTGCAGTCCGGAGTGGTTGGGTGAACGAACACGCCGGCATTGCGTGCTTCCAAGGCAGAGAAGATAGTGTCAAAGGACCTGTCACCCAAATATGTCCCATTGGCGTTGGTGTACAGCCCCACGCCAACGAAGCCGAGGGTATCCAGGCAAAACTACGGATTTCAAGTTAGAATTGACCAGATTATGTATTAGGGGAGGAAAGGGACCAACTCCTCAACCGCTTCGTCAACGTAAGGGAGAGGGAGAAGACAGAGGGCTCCAAGTCGAGTCGGATGAGTTCCAGTGTAGTTATGAAGCTGGAGGCTAACGACTTGGCCTTTTGCGCCTCTTTTAGAAAGAAGACGCCAGGGGCGCTGACACTAGTTGTCGAGTAATTAACGCCAAGGCTGTCCATGGTGCTAATATGCGAATCCAGTGTCCAAGCTGCGACAGGGAAGCCATCTGCATACAAAGTACCATCCTTGACTGGGAAGCCTGCAGAGATCAACCTCCCTCCAAATCGACGGAATGACATGGGAATGAACATCAATCTTATAGTTCGAGCCGAGAGAATCGGCAATGCAATGGCCGTTGGCCAAGCATGCCAGAGGAATTCCCAACAGGAGTTTCTGCAAAAGAGAAGGCAACGGGATAATTCGAAAGTTGAGAACTGTGACAGGATGCAACAAGAAAGTAAGAAATCTCAAAGTAATAAAGTAGTTAAGACATTGATTTTCACAAGGATTAGAACGTCCCTTTTATTATCATCCTGACTAGTATTAGACGCGTGGAAGCTTAGAGTTCCACACAGCACGTTCTTGTAGATATACTCCGTAGAGTCGAACCGAGAGAATGGGTGGCTAGGGAACTAGCTCGAAGACAGTTATCGATGCCGGGGTGCCGGCGTTGGGTGTTCTTATGGCGATCGTAAGAAGGAGAAGATGGTCAAGTGGGTGCCACGTTGGCGACAGCTCAGGACGCTTCTAATAGAAATAGGCAGTTAAATGGTCTGACCTTGCAGGTTAACACGTTCGAATCCTTGCTGCGTGATATCTATCCCAGACTCGATGTTCTATCATCCCAGCTAGTGGATCAGACACTGAAGGAAATGCACTCTCGAGCTCCGCTTCCCCAATCCGATCCTGTTGCTCGTAATTTGCCTGCCCTCCCACCAAGCGATACTTGGCAAGTGGACCCTTCCTTGTCCTTTACAGATGCTAGTCCGGTCTTTCCGTCTGGTATTGCAGACCAGACAGAAGAAAACTATAACCGTGATGATAAGGTACAGGCCATGGGGTTCGTTGGCGAATACTCGGAGATGGCATGGCTGTACAGGCTCAAGCGGCACCTCGACCAAGGTAGCTTTTCGCCAATCAAGGAGACCCTGAACGTCCTGCGATTTCCTCCGTGAACTACTTTCAAGACGAATCAGACCTTTCAGTGCCCGAACCTGTCGACCTCACACGCTGGCCTCCGCAACACCTTGCCGACAACCTTGTTGACGCTTACTTTCACACCGTGCCTCCTGCGTTCCCGATCTTTGGCAAGACCACCTTTCTGAATCAATACCGATCATTCTACTCGAACCCGAATTGCGACCTGGCAAGAGATGGCTAGCATTGTTGAACTTGGCGCTTGCCATTACGACGAGACATTCACTCCTCACTGGTCACCTCCGGCCAGACCAGGATGATCATCAGAACCTTTTTGCACGGGCGTGGAATTTGGGTATAGGCAAGGTCGCGTTGTTGGATCATCCGGACCTGCAACAGGTGCAAGTTGAGGGACTGGCTGCATTTTATCTTCTGTCTATTGGGCAAGTCAATAGGTTGGTCTCCCAGAATTTCTGCTGTGTGTATATGCCTCGTGTCCTGATGTGCGATGGCCCTTTACAGGTCTTGGAGAATTATTGGGACTGCGATTCGATCGGCGGTGGCAATGGGTCTGAATCTTGGGAGCGAGAGTAAGAGAGTCCCACATTTCTCACAAGAAGTCCGCTATCGATTATGGTGGGCGCTTTTCCTGCTGGATACAGTGCTATGCGAGATGACCGGTCGCCCTCTAAGCACGGGAGAAATCTTCTGCACGACACCTCTTCAAGTACCCTTCAGAGAAGAGGGTTTCTAGGATGATCGGGTCGCGTAGCTTATCACCAGCAAAGAGACTCGAGGTGCATTCTTTACTTCATTGCTTTCCAATAGTACCTCGACTCCGCCACAGAATCGTGTCAGTCGCAAAGATTCGGCCCAATCGGGATCTAGTCAAATAAACCGGGAGCTCCGATCAGCTCAAGCCATGGTTCAAATTGCTAGTCCACGGCCTGCAGGAACTCTGTCGGCGCAACGTCGAAGGCGAAGACTGGCCTAGAGGTCGCTTGAAGCCCGAGTCTAATAACCAACCAATCGTTCACAACCTGCTCATGCGCCTCGGCGTCCTTGATGACACTGAGGGCGAACAATTTGAAGAAAAGGAGGCCCTGCAGCAAGATCTCTCGCGCGCCAACGCTGAGATGCAGCGTCAAGAGTCATCTGACGGCAGCTCCGATAATCCCCAGTCACCTGTCGCCAGCTCGCACTTTTCGTCTGATGCCTACCCTCGGAAACACACCCCGCCCATGCTGCGAACATATAGCTCGTTATTGAGCGCGCCAATGATTACCGAACCCCAGATGCCCAACACTCCTCAATCGGCCGCACCTTCATCCGTGCAGGGCGCGATCAATCCGTTGCAATTCAGGGGCGGGCAACAGCAGGCCAGCAAGTGGTTCAATCCTATCGTTCAGATGGACAACATGGCTATGGCCGACTACTATAATCTCTCCTTTGGCGGTTCATTCATGGTCGATCGCTTGATTCCCATAAACTGCATGGTTCAAAGGCAACTGTTAAATTCACTACGCATGCTCTGCGTCAAATCCAAACAGAGTCCAGCGGAGAGTGCCTTATCTGCTGTGAAGAGCCCATGATCGACCCTGCGGTGACTGCATGTTGGCATAGTGCTTGCAAAAAGTGCTTGGAGGATTTCATGCAGCACCAGATGAACAGGAAAGTCGAGGCCCGATGCTTTAACTGCCTTGCCCCAGTCGATGCAAAGAATATCTTCGAAGTGGTTCGGCATCCGTCCTCACACTCGACCCCTCTTGACGACGACATCGTGAGCAGCACACCACCACCAACCAGCTCTCAGCCCGCCCCTCGCATATCTCTCCGTTGCATATATCCCCTTTATCCATCCGCCCATACCTCCGCCAAGATTAATGCTCTCATCAACCACCTCTCCCGCATTTCCCCGAACACAAAATCCGTCGTTTTCTCCCAATTTACCTCCTATCTAGACCTCATCGGTCTCCAACTCACCAAAGTTGGAATTCATGATCTCCGACTGGACGGCACAATGCCACAAAAGGCCCGTGCCGCAGTCCTAGCCGAATTCACAAAGGAAGAAAGCTACACAGATGACGATATCATCGACCCAGAAGATGATACACTGGGGGCGAAGGGCCCTACCACGGAGAATGCACCCACAACTTCATCACCTTCAGTCCTCCTCATCTCCCTCCGCGCCGGCGGTGTCGGCCTTAATCTTACAGCAGCAAGCAACGTCTTCGTCATGGATCCATGGTGGAGCTTCGCAATCGAAGCCCAAGCTATCGACTGTGTCCACCGAATGGATCAAACTCGTGATGTTGCAGTCACGCGGTTTGTAGTGAAGGTCTCAATTGAAATTCGCATGTTGCGTGTTCGGGAACGTAAGATGAACAGTGCTGGATCGCTGGGATTGAGGTTTGGTGGCGATGACGGTGATAGGATAAGAAGAAGGATAGAATCGAGGATTTGAAGATGTTGTTTGAGTGATTTGTTTGGGTTACTTTCTACATGGGTTGCTAGTTTTGTTTCCATTTGAGGATACCCGGTTCTGGCGTGAGGATGTGGAAATGAGGTGAAGATTAGACATCATCTCACCGAATGAGTTCTACATCTGATATAGACAGGAATCAAAAAGAGCGGAATTGATTTTAATACTGCATCAATGCGAACTGTTGCATATTGAATACAATGCACCTGTCATGGTAAAAATGGGTGATCGTCTTTACGAATTGTATGTTGGATGCAATCCATCAGACAGGCTTTTAGAGGCAGAAAACCTCGTAGCAAACACATGTCGTTATTCCTCGTAGCCATCAAGCCCTCACGGCAACCTTTAAACCTAACGGCACCATTTCTGCCACAAACACCCTTGTCGAACGGCATAGCAGTGAGGACATCCATTATTTCCACGACAATTAGCAATAGTTCCACAGACCTGGTAGCACCTAGAGACGCGCTTATCAAGAACCGATGCGTCCCTGCTCAACAGAACGTTAGAACGTGGGCAGACAGCAGCTCTCGTTTCCAACGTCAAGTCCTGTACCGTGTCATTCGAGCCCGTTGCTGACTGCAATGCCTCTTGAGCACGCTGTCCCTCCTGCTCGAAATAGTGGTTTGCAGTGTCGCTTGGAGTGAAATGCTCGGACAGCGCAAGATCGTTGGATGGGTGCTCATAGACGTCGATCTTCACTCGGCTGTTTTCGAGGTACATGTCCATAAAGTGGGTATCTCGCAGATTGGAGAGGAATACATCGTAGCGGTCAAGCTCATCCTCGTGGATGGCTGTCCGGGGTGAAAGAGCCAGTGCGCAAGCTGCCACAGACATGGCGATGAAGAGCGTATGGAGGAGAGTTTGGGACACCATTTGTGTTTTTTTTGAGCAGTGTCATGTGATACTTTTTGTTTGTATTTGTTTTGCCCTAAGGTTGGATATTTTTGACATTTTTTTATTTGTTATTGATTCAAGCAAGTGCTTATTACATGAAGCTGGTGGTACCTATTGTGTTTATATCTCACTTTGAGCAGGTTAGGCCAACATATCCTTCCCAATTCGTTGGCTGAATCTATCCCTGCTATGAAGTTACATCAAGCCCCCTAACAAGGTGGTACGCTCCGTGGAAAGCACTAGGCCTTTGCGTCCATAGATGCTAGCTAATCTCACGTCATATACTACCACTTATCAACGCTTCCTGTCATGCTTAGAAGAATAATCTAATGCCCTCAAGAACGAGTACATGCAGATAGAGGAGCGTCCTGATATGATTAACTCGAGTCTCAAAACAAGGCAGGTGAAATTCCTCGTTCAGCAAGCTTTCTCAGGTGAGCTGTTTTTCTGGGTCAGGGGATCTGAACTTCAGCCTGAGGGTAGTATCCAAATGCAGAGAGCAGCAAAGGACGCCAGGTACGTGCATCGACCTTTTCTCAATCCCCTCAACCTTCGGCTTAAATGCTCTTGTCTTGCTTCCCATTGTGGTGGATTTAACCTAGCTGGTAGAAATTGATATTTGATTACCACAGACATTTATCTAACACTCAGGCTGTTCTATTGGACCATGCGTCTATATATTTACAGGCATTTAGTGCACGTACTCCTGGCCTAAGCTTGCAGCAATGTGAATCAGGGCTTTGGTAAAACGGGTAATTTTAGCAAGATTTGAAATACGCCTAAGACGGTTTCCAGGCTAAGTAAGGCTCTCGTATTACACTGCTAGTTTGAGCTCGGTCTTTTGCTTTTTGGAATTGACCGCATGATTGATGGAGCCCCATGGTGTTGGCTAGGCTACCCCAGAGTCTGAACTTTAAATTTTGATTCATTTCGCCCCGTTTTCACGGCCACAAAAATCAAATTCAATGAAGCTTTATAATGCAGGGTTCAATCGCTTCCCGAAGTGGTGGCTTTACCGTGACATGAATTAAACGTTGATATTTCTTAATCATGGTTTTCCCAAAACGATACCTTTTGTTGCGAGCTGCTCGGATTAGTTTCAGAGCTACCTAGGTAAAACGCCGGATGCATGCTCAACATGCACTATAAAAGCCCTTGCCAATAGTCCGAGCTCTAGATAAAATCGAGATACCCGCTGAAGCTGAGGAGGTGATTGGCCGGTTTAGGTACTGCTCCGTATGGAGTACTCCGTGACGATATTACAATTAAATCAATCCCGCCATATTTAGGGGCCATCCGGAAGTATTCTGTCTTGGCAATGCATTGTCTCAGCTATACATATGTATATCCAATCATACCATATAGCTTCTGTTAGTGCGGTCTGGATTCGGGTTCCAAAGGTGATTGATTAGGGCTTCTCGGTAGTTTCCATGGAATTAACCAGCCTTGGTTGAAATGAATATGTAAGCGGATATCTGGGACTCTTTTCGAGAACTGACCGTTAAGACATTGATCCAGAATAGTATAATATATTGAGTTTGGTTTCTTCCCTCGGAAGGTTTTAGATATATTAATTGGGGCAGGAGGACTTTCGAAACGTCATTCCAAGGTTGAAATAGCCATTGCAACTTACCCAGGCAAAAGATCCTTACAAATTTCTTGTAATCAAAATTATTTAATATGGAATCTCTATAGCGGCTTGGTTCATGGCCTGTTATTATTCTGTGTCGCAATATCGACCTATTATGGAGGCATTTCTTCAACCGCGAGCCGATGTGAGTGATCCATTCCATTCAAAGGCAAAATGATTTCTTCCAGGGCTTTCTCTGACCGTCCATCTAGGTTGAGAACCGTGGGCCTCTATTGCTGATCATCAATGGCACGGTAACGGGCTTCGCGGCGATCATTGTGGGTCTTCGCGTGATTTCGAGGGTCTTCATAGCGAAAATTTTTGGCCTGGATGACTGGATAATGGTGGCTGCGACGATTTTCGCATAGTTGAATGTGGTGCTTGCTGGATTTGGTATGTCTTCTGTTCCTTATGTGGCCATCCCATCTCTTATGCTGTGAGTAGGAGTCAAGTACGGAACAGGGAAACACAAATGGGATCTCGTCAAAGTAGACGTGGTGCCTTCATCGAAGGTATTTGGAGAAATGATAACATAAATCAAAAAAAAAGAGGGCTAAACAATATGAGCAATGTAGATTCGATATGTGAATCACATCATTTATAGCCTGATCAGTGGTCTGATCAAGGTATCGCTATGTCTGCTATACCTACGCGTGTTCCCTAACATTCGAAGAATCTGCCTTGGAACAATCTCATTAGTCACGGCCATGAGTGTCGCAATTATCCTCGCAACCATCTTTCAGTGCTCCCCGGTCGATGCTGTCCACAGCAAAGGGAAATACGACCATTATAGTTGCATTGCATCTATTCCGTTTTGGTATGCGACAGCCGGACTGTCTCTGGTGACGGGTATTTGGATTCTTCTCTTGCCACTGAAAACAGTTAGGTTTGTGGTTACAGATTCACCGTAGCTATTACTCTAATCAGGTACAGGTATTCATCTCGGAACCAAGAAAAGAGACTTGTCATCGTTGGTTTGCTATCATTAGGCTCCTTGTATGTGCAAGACGCCAAGTTTCCTTTATGCATTAGTGCTAACTGGACAAAAGTGCATGTATAGCCAGCACAGTGCGGATGGTCTACATTGTGAAATTATATCGAAGCTCAGACCCCTCCTGGGATACCTTTGGGATCTCTATCTCGTCAGGAATCGAATTGGCTGTCGCTATTATTGCTGCCAGTATCCCGGCGACCAAGCCGATCATCAACAGGCTATTTCCAAAGCGGGTTTCCCAGCAGCACTGGCGGATCGCGCTCAGCCAGCCACCGAGCTTATCCTTCAGGCAGTCGAAGTGAAAGTACTCCACGTCGCTACCACAGGGATATTATTCCGCTCTCATTTTTCCTGGGTAGAGAAGGAAGTGATACAGATAATGAGTCTACAAAAGCAATAGCGCATGCAAGATGACTGATATAAAAAAATTTGGAAGCGAGCAGGAGAGAGATCAATGACTGTATTTTTATGCATCAACAGGACTCAAAGAGAAAGGAGCAGAAGGAAGAAGGACAACTACAAACGGGGTCACCGGACACCGACAACAGCATCATGATATCAACAACCCAGACCCATGTATGTACAAACTTAGACCGAATTTAGGCCGTCCATAGACACCTCCCTATGGCCCATAGCCGGCCCATGATGAGGGATGGACCGCCGCGCCGAGGCACTAGAGGGGCAATGGAGTGTTTTATCTTTTTCTTCGGAGCAACTGGGAGAATGTGGCATTTCATCTAGATGTAAGCTAGAAAAGCCAGGCCTTAGCACGATACGCAGATCAATCGACTTTCAAGCTCTCAAACCGAACTTGCACTCCCGCGGTTTGCCCGAGAGCATAGATGCCTATCACTGGACCAGTAAAATCAGGGTTGGTCACATCAAATGTATCAACAGTTCCCAGGCACGTCCAGTCTTGCCCAGTATTGGATTCGACAGAGTACAACAGCCGGTATTCCTTCTCCGTATAGTCCACTCGGAACGCCACTGAGGGGGGAACTTTTCCTAGGACGTGTTTCTCGGTTCTAGCAATCTTCTTCGCGACGTTGACCAATTCGAAGACCACTTCAAGCTTCCCAGCATCATAGTAGATCCGTACGTAGCGGTGCTCTTCCTTGTAACAGGCTAGCCCAGCCAGGATCTTCGCAGAGCCCCAAGACTCCTCGATCCCTTGAAGAACCACGCTGCTTGTGCCGTGCAATTGCCGTTGCCGCTTGCCAATAAAGGTCGGGCTGAGTTCCGGGTGTGACAGATCGACCGATGATGCCGTCAGTGTCACGGAGGTTCCAGTGACCCGGTAGTTGCTCATGACAGCATCTCGAATGTAGAGACAGTCAACGCCAGGTTTTGCCGTAAGGTTTGGACTCGACCGGGTTTCCAGGAGGCTGGGCTTCAACTTCACTTGTTCGAAGGTAAACCACTCGTTGTCCCAGGCTACCCGTGTCAAAAAGGTCTCCCGACCCATGGTGCATCGCCCCTGGTCGTCTATGCGTGCCCCAATACAGGTTCCCCACCATTGTTTCTTCTCATCCTGGAAGATCTCGCAATGACCGGTATACTGGATATACTCCGCAGTACCACGCGCTGTCAGGACCGGGTTGTTAGGACAAGACTCATATGGGCCCAAAACGTGTCTAGAGCGTGCCATCGTCACCATATGCCCCTCATGGGTGCCGCCCTCCGCAATGAGCAAGTAGTACCACCCATTGCACTTATAAAGGTGCGGCCCCTCCGGATAGATATCGCCGGTGCCACGCCAGATGACTTTCTCCTCCGACAGCTTGGCGCCGGTATTGAGGTCGACTTCGAAGAGATTGATCGTCGTGTATGGCCCCGGTGCAGCAGACCCTTGGATGTAGGTCTTTCCGTCCTCATCGAAAAATAGACTGGGGTCGATGCCAACGAATTCAAAGTAGATTGGGTCGGTCCATATGTCCGACCAGATATTATCGGTCGAGACGATGAAATTCTCCGTTAGGTCTTTTTCTTTGCCGGGCAAGTGGATGACATTCGTACAGACGACATAGAATGTACCCTGGTGATAACGGATCGTCGGCGCGTATAATCCTCCACTCGCGATCATAACTTTACCCTTGTCCACCAAAACGAGGTTTGCATCCGATTTTGCTAAGCTGAGCTGGGCTTGACGGTTGATTGCATTTCCTGTACAAACATATTGGTTCCAGGTCAAAATCTGCGACATCCAATCCCTCGTTCACTGTCGGGTCGTCCGACTTACCTATCTGCTGCCATGAAATGAGGTCTTTAGAAGCGTAAATAGGTAGGCCGGGAAAAAAGTGAAAGCTGGAGTTGATGAGATAAAACCAGTCGCCCACCTTTACCACGGATGGATCTGGCGCGAAGCCTGGTATGATAGGGTTGACTGTGCCCGACATAGTTGGCTTGCTCAAGGAATACTAAGATGGAAGGAACTGAGCTTTGATAGCCCATGGCATTCATCCATCTTCCCAGCCAAACGTTAAATATTACGCTTCGGCGAGGTAAAGTTACATACGACATTAGGAAAGTCCCAGAAAATAGAATAGGCTGTTCAATGACCACCAGGCGCGGGTCAAACAATCTATATAGGCTAAATCGGGGGGTTACAACAAAGGATCTAGTCACGAGGACTCCCCTGTAAGCGTCTCGAAGAGCCAAATTGGAAGAAACATCGATGACAGTTCTTGGCAGTACTTGGCAGTCGCTCCGGCGTCAGAAATATAGGCCGCTCGGGCCCCTAAGGCCGCATAGGCCGCGCCGTTAGTTTGAAATTCATTTATCCCTTGTAAGTCTCCTAATAGCAACTTCCCGGTGGTAGTTTAGCCATAGGGCCTAGGACTACGGTAATCACCCGGACATACAGTACAGCATAGCATCGTTAGTTATCGAAGTAAGTTATGAGCCGCCTCGGACGATTAAGCGAACCCCACATCCAGCAGATCCATCTCTGTGGGGTTCTGAGTGTGGGGTTCAAAGTATCGAGCTTCAGAGTCACTATTCAATAACGCCACCTTCCGGTAAAATGAAGATGTTGCCCTTCATCTCTGACGCTGAATCGGTGGCAGCGTGTCGTGACAAGCCAAGCTAAACTCTAGAGAATAGCCGAGAAATGATCAAGCGACATACATGTCGCTAAGCTTATAAAGAAGTAGTTTCCCGCTATAGCTCTAGATTCTCAATTGGCTGCTATTATTTTGCTTTATCGTCAGTATTGTTCTTCCCTTCCAAAGTCAAGCTTCGTAGTCATGGCGTTGCGATTCCGGCCCCCGAAGCAGACTCAACGGGTTATGCCCGTTAAGCCCGCCAACGGCCACTTCTTCTTCGCTCACCAGGAGTTCAAGCGCGTCGCCTGGTGGAAGAGGAAGAACATGCGCACCCTGTATATCTACATCGTCATCCTCATTATGACCAACACCGCGAACGGTTTCGATGGCTCCATGATGAACGGTCTTCAAACTCTCTCCTACTGGCAGGAATACTTCGACCATCCGCATGGGGCCCTTCTCGGTCTTTTTAATGCGTCCATGAGTCTTGGCTCCTTGATCGGTCTGTTCATCGTGCCTTACATGATCGATGCCTTCGGGCGCAGGCTCGGCTGTTTTGTTGGATGCCTCATCATGCTACTTGCTGTGGGCCTGCAGTCCGGCGCCACTGGCTTTGGCATGTTCATCGCTGCCCGTTTGCTCATTGGATTTGGTGATTGCATCGTTCTTGGGAGCGCCCCTCTCTTGATCGCCGAGATAGCACATCCCCAAGATCGTGCTGTTCTTGTCACGCTCAGTGGTGCTTCTTACCATTCCGGTGCATTCATTGCTAGCTGGGTGACCTTGGGCACTTTGAAGATTCAGGTATATATCACACCCCATGGTTTCTGTAGATCGATGTTTAACATGGAAACGTTCCCCTTGGCTCACATTCTTTCCCTCCTAGAGCGATTGGTCCTGGAGACTTCCAAGCTTGCTGCAGGCCATTTGCACAGTTGTCATTGTGTCTGGTATTTGGCTGATGCCAGAGAGCCCTCGTTGGCTGATGAGCAAGGGGAGACACGACGAGGCTATGCGGGTTCTTGTCAAATATCACGGCGAGGGCAACCCAAACGACGAATTCGTGCACCTGGAGTATGCCGAAATCAAGGCTGCCATAAACCTTGACCAGGAGATTAACCAAACTGGCTGGGTTGACTTCTTCAAAACTAAGGGCAACCGGAAGCGAATCGGCCTAATCACCGCTCTGGGCCTCTTCAGTCAGTGGAGTGGCAATGGCTTGATCTCCTACTATCTCAAGCAGGTCATGGACAGCGTCGGTATCACTAAGGCATCCACTCAACTTGGAATTAATGCGGGCATCAAGAGCGAAGCCCTAGTTATGAACTTCCTCCTCGCCTTCTTCATTGATAGATTGGGAAGACGTCCGATCTACATGGTCTCAACAGTTGGCACGTTCCTAGTATTCAACGCCTGGACCATCGTGTCGGCTCGGTATGCAATCGCGCCGAATAATGCACTGGGATACATCTTCGTGGTCCTCACCGTCTTGTATGGTTTCTTTTACGACATCAAGTAAGTACTGGTAACTGCCTTTGCGGGCGTTTGGTTCTTTGCGGATTTTGCTGACAATCGGGTGCTTATAAGATCTGGTCTGATGGCAACCTACACGACTGAGATTCTTCCCTACGGGCTTCGTGCCAAGGGCTTTACCTGGTTGAACTTCTGCGTCACCGCGGCACTCTTCTTTAACCAGTACATCAACGCTATTGCTCTCGATGCAATCGCCTGGAAATATTATATTGTGTACTGTGTCTTCCTAGCAATGGAAGTGTTTGTTATTTACAGCTTCCTCATCGAGACACGTTACACCCCTATGGAGGAGATTGCCAAGTACTTCGATGGGGACGATGCGGTTGATCTTGGTGAGATGGCCGTCGCGGATATGAAAGAGCAGGCAAGGGATGCAGGCGGCAAGACAGCTGTCGTCCATGTCGAAGTGAAGGAGTAAAGCCATATAGTCTTTCAATTGATTGCGGTTTCCATCACCATATCTAATCGGATTGAAGTACAATGGGCCAAGTGTGCGATCTCTAAATCCGCCCTACGGCAGTGTATAGCCGCCAGTGCGCCATATCGCATTTTTCCATATTAAATTTTGACTGCCTTCACACTGCTAGTTTACTATTACCTCCTTCGTACAAATCCTAGTAATTAATTTCTACCATATTAACTTCAATATTCTATAGTGTCACTTTCTATAGGACGATGAGCCTGATGCCAAAGAACGAGCGGAGGACGAGACCCTGGTGGTGGTAGCCTTGCAACGTTGCTCGACGCCATCAACAATCTGGTGCCTGTGTTATCACCCTTGATACAACAACTTGCCCTAACAAAGAATACTGCCGGGGTCTCCTAGGTTGATAATCATGGCCTGTAGGACAGATAGACTGAGCGACATTTGCGTTCTGCGAATGGACAAGTCGTGGAATACATGATTGACCAGGGGGTTCCACTCCACCTCTCTTGTCGCCTATAAAGAAGGGAAACAACCCAATGATGACATGGTTCAAGATGGCTACATTACGCATATTACGTGGGACATGGTCCCGGACAGCAACTTGATAGTAATCAGTTCTGAGGGCCACCGCAAGCCACCATACCGTATCCCAAGACGTCAAAGAAGGACCATCGACATGACAGAGTCGCTCGAGTCCTGAATCAGGAAGTGCCATTTGCGGCAGACCCCTTGAGCGGATGTGAGCAAGGTGCGCGTGTCAGTTTCGAGCAGGGTCAGTTCAAAGATTTCGGTTATCAGGAAAAATATTGTGCGGCTCTGATGAAGCCATATCGAAAGGTGAGATTTTTGCACGGTTCTATTGAAAGACAGTAATTCAAAGGAGATAGTCCGGGAGAGACAGAGAGACGCCAGTTCCATCTGTAGTATTACAATATCGGGCAAGTTCTTACCTAAAATAGCTTAGTCGTGCAGGCCGTATACTTGGAACGGTATGGACTTCCGTAGCCTAGCTAGTATACGGCGCGTTGAACTTTGCTATAGGCTGGGAATCATCTTATCAGGACATATCTAAGATAAGGATCACAGTGTATACTTATCATCGTTAATCATAAATCCGGTGCTTACATAGTTAGGCAACGCGATAAGACGGGCTTGTTGGCATATATCTAATCCTACCTGAATTGGACACTTAGTACGTATAGGTCTGGATCCTATAAAAAAATCTAGTAGGATTGCTACAGGATGGGTCCTAATCTGTGACCATTGTTCACTTGATTCTAATGTCTACTATCTACCAGACCGAAGCTGGCGGTGGGGAATCCCAGTTCTTGCTCCACTGGCTTAAACGCATTGAAGCTTGAATCGATAGGAAAATGGACGGGCGAGCAACGCTTGGTATGTAGCAAATATCTCTCTATCAAACATAACGTATAAACATGGCAACATAGCGATCCCGCTTTTCATGGGATCATCGGCCGATCCTCTCTGTCCTCCAATTCTACCGCCGCATCATCGTCCCTCCCTTCTAAGATATCCGACGGCTCCGATTGTCTAGGTACAGTGCGGTCCCGCGGCCGGACCGGCCGGCGAGAGACCTTACCAGATACAAACCCAGCCACAGTCTGAATGAGCCGCCATAAGCGGTCTTCTAGTGTTTCAGGGGCAGGGGTATTCAGAGGCCCACCAAGCGCACCAAATTCAGACGAACTTGTTGCTGCCAGTGTATGTTCCTCGGCTTCGACCTTGAACTGATACTTCAAGCAGTCCTTGACGGTAACCAAGCCAGTGAGTTTGCCGCGGTGCTCGACGAGAATGACACGCGGGCCCATCTTCTTGAAGATCTCCATGACCGTTTCGAGAGGATGGCGCGGGTGAACGGTCAGCGGTGTGTGGTCGACATATCGCGAGAAATCGACGAAAGAAGCTCCTACGCTCCTCTCGATTGCATCGAATGTATCCGATGACCGTGAGGTTTGCGAGACGGATGCCCTGCGCGCAACGGCTGTCTCGGCTGCATCTTTGGTGAACACGCACCGAGCATTTGGCGCGACCATTCCCTGGCTGCGGGCGCGGTCGATGGCGTATCGAAGCTCGGTTCGGCCGATGTATCCGACCAGGATCTTAGAAGTGCGGTCCTCCACGACAGGGAAGCCTTGGAATTTGTTGTCGTTTAGGAGATGCTCTGCTTCGCGCACGGGGAAATCTGATGCTGGTACCGAGAGCGGGCCTGCGGTCATTGCGTGGGATACAGGCACGTTGAAGACGTGCTCCTCCTTGTTGTCTAGGAATGGGAACCCGTTGAACCAAATCATTCGATCGGCGATACCGCCACTGCCGAATCGATCGCCAACGGCTTTGGTGACGCCTACCACGATCTGTACAAGAACAGTTA